TGTCCTGATCAGGGGCCACAGCTTGGACTGCAAGTAGCAGAATGGGAGGGTCTGCTTTATCAGATCTTAAGAGAGTTTTAAAAAGGCAGTTACAGACTATGGGATTAGTGGTAATTTTACAAGAGGACTTGTAGAAGGAATAAAAAATGGTTATACAATGATCCCTGAAGATTGGAAGCAAATATTTCGCATGATTTTAACATCCATACAATATGCAGTTTGGGAGAGTGAATATATGAGACATGCTCAAACTGTTGCTTTAGGAGAGGGCGGAGCATATACAGTTGAGCAGCTATTTGGTTCTGGACCATTTGGTACAATTCCTACTCAAGTTGTTCTTCCTCCAGCTACATTAACTATTGTTTCTGAATGTGCCTTTCGTGCTTTTCTTAAGGTACCCCAAGCTGGAGAACCTAGAGCAAAATTTTCAAATATTCGACAGAATGCCAATGAGCCTTATGCTGACTTTGTTGAGCGTCTGTACAAAGCAATTAGACAGTAGTTTGATCATCAGGAAGCTGCTGGTGAACTTCTTCACCAATTAGCTATTGAAAATGCTAATGCAGATTGTAAAAGTGCTTTACAGCCGTTAAAGGCTACTGCTCATTACACTCTGGCAGATATGCTGCGAGTCTGCCAAGATATTGGATCACAAACTTATAAAATGCATATGTTAGCAGCTGCTATTCAGAAAGGACAGCGACCAATTGGTAACTATTTAAGTGTAAGAAGCCTGGCCACTTTCAGAAGGACTGTCGTTCTACACCTTCTATGCCTCAGAATCGTCCTTCTAAGAAGTGCCCTATTTGTAAAAAGGGATTTCATTGGGCCAATCAATGTCAGTTTCGGTCGGGAAACTTGCCAATGGGTGTGGCACCCACCCAGAATCCAAAGCATGCCTTTCCCATCACTCTGACTCCTCCAGCAGTCTCTCTCACTCCTCCCCAGCCACAGCTGGTAGCACTGGGATCGATTTAATCACTCAAGAGGAAATTGAGTTTAAATTTCCCATGGAAGTTAAAATAGTTCCATCTCAATTTAAAGGTCCTCTTCCTTCGGGATTAGTTGGCTTAATTTTGCCTCGTTCTTCTGCACACAAAAAGGGCTGTTTTGTTGTGCCTGGGGTAATAGATTCAGATTACACTGGTATTCTCATGATTCAGATTTAGGTGAATCTTCTTCAAGTTCTTCCTTGCAATTCTTGTTGCTCAATTGCTCCTTCTTCCACATGAAATTCCATCTCCTGGTATAGGTAATCGTGGGGATGCAGGATTTGGATCAACTTCTTTATCTGTAGGCTTACTTCATCAGCTGAACTCCTCTCGTCCTTTGTTAACGCCCTTCCTTAATAAACAACCATTTCAAGGGTTATTGGATACTGGAGCCAATGTTACTGTCATCTCCTCTTTACGGTGGCCAGTAAAGTGGCCGAAAATGACAGTTTCTTCATTGTGGGGAATAGGAGGTTCTACAGCTGCTTGGCAGAGTGTTCAAGAAATTAATGTTACAACATCTGCTGGTAAGTCCTTTTTCCTACAACCATACATTCTAGATATTCATACTAATATTGGGGGCCGTGATATCCTTTCTCTTCTTAATGCCCATTTGATTCTTGATGATGGCTCTTCCTCTTAAATGGCTCTGTTCTACGACGGTTTGGGTGGAACAATGGCCATTATCAAGGGAAAAACTCGCTGCTTTACAACAATTGGTTCAAGAACAATTGGCTGCTGGACATATAGAACCTTCTACTACATCTTACAGGACAGGATCTCACTAGCATAGCTTTCACTCGTACAAAAGTTGAACATGAGCATTTGATGATGATTTCAGAATCATATCAGATAGCCTTTTCTCAATATGTGGGAAACTTGTTGTATTCTTTACCCAAGGATCCTAGAATAGTGGTTACTACTACTTTAAATCCAGCCTTTTCTTCCATTTTTGTGCGAAATCCTATTTCTAAAGCTCTTACAGTCTTTACTGATGGATCACCTACAAGGGGTGTAGTTGTCTGGCAGATTCAACAATGGTATTCTAAATTTACTGCCACGCAGACTTCAGCTCAACGTGCTGAGCTGGCTGCTGTGATTTTGGCTTTACGATTGTTCAATGACCAACCTATTAACTTGATCGTTGATACTCAATATGTGTATTTGGCTATGCAATCTCTTCCCTTTTCTTATTGTGCTCTCTCTTTGGATAAGAATTTGTTGCAAAGCAATTTAAAATTCCATTATCTCAAGCCCGGGATATTGTCCGTGCTTGTCCAGCTTGTCAGCAACTGGCAGTTCCCTTTCCAGTAGGTGTCAACCCACAAGGAACCCAAGCTAATCAAATTTGGCAAATGGATGTAACTCAATTTTCAACCTTTAAGCCATACTGTTATCTTCATACGTCTATTGACACTCATTCACACTTCCTTTGGGTTACTGCTTCAAAACATGAACGTACTTCAGATGTTATTTCTCATTGTCTCTCCTCTTTTGCTGTAATGGGTCGGCCTTCTCAGTTTAAAACTGACAATTGCCCTGCTTATATTAGTAAGGAATTTCAAATCTTTTGTCAGAAATGGAATATTACTTTAGTGCACGGAATTCCTTACAACTCTCAGGGTCAAGCTATGGTTGAGCGAGCTCATCGTACTTTTAAGGCATTGCTTCAGAAACAATTACAAACTGAGTCTGGCCCTTACCATCTGTGAAAAATTCAAAATCTCATTGCTGTAGCATTATATATACTTGGAATCATTTAACCTTTTTAGATTCTCTTGCAGACTCACCTGTTAATTTGCATTTTTGAACTACTGAATCTTTAGCAAGGCCTTTGGTAAAGTATCGCCAAGCTCCAGATCCAACCTGGAAAGGCCCTACACCACTGATCACCTGGGGTCGCAGTTACGCCGCTGTGGAAGATCCTTCTACTTGACAAGCAGTGTGGGTTCCAGCACGCTGTGTTCGTCCGTATCATGGCATGGCATCAGGGCCTTCACAACCCGATTCCGGATTTCAATCTTCATCTGAACACAGAAGTCCGTCTTCCAAGGTCAAAGCGCCCGCAACCCATCACTTGGGGCCAGGTTAAATCTACTTCATATCAAGCTCAACAACAACTGCAACAGGTCTCATTACCTCACTCCTGAAAATCTTGTTGTTGCTGTTTTTGCTATTATTACTGCTAACTCTGTTACAATTTTACTTTGTATTTTCTTGTTTATGGTTAATGGTGTTTCTGCTCAAAATGACACTTCTGTGGTTCGTCTTAACCCTAATTTGTGGGCTCGTCATGCCCAATACATGTTTATGACCCATGGCACAAATATTACTTTATACTATGAGCCCCCAATGGGATTTGGTCAAATTTCTTTTATCCCTAACTTGATCATGTCTTCTACATTTATTGTTTCACAACTACAATCTATTTCACACTCCTGGCTATTTTCTACACCCCCTATGCAATTGAATTCTGTCCGTTGGCGTTACTTGAAAGTTAGTCAATTTACAAGGGGTCTGTGCTTCTGTTGTCACGCTAAACACACTTGGCTTCATAATTGGTCTGATTATGATGCTGCTCATAATAAAAAAGCTAGGGAATTATAGTTATTGTTCTGGCTACTATTGGTTGTCAGGTACCTTTAATTCTTCTTTGCATGGAATTAATATAGCTCCTGATATGTATCCTGACAATTTTCCTATTTTTAATGCCTCTGATCAATCTAATACAGGATCGATATGCACTGGCTAGCAGCTTAGGGATCCTAATATGTGGTTCTTTTTTGATAAATATGCTACTAATGTTCATCCTCAGAATTATCAATATGCAACTATAGGTTATTTTACTCTACCTGTTCAAATAGGTACACTCCCATCAACTCGAGGGCGGCGTTCCTCTCTGGGGCCTACATGTAATGATGAAGTCATTATTGACACACAATTGTCTTCTGGTTCTACATTTGGCCGTGCATTGGCAGAGGCCGTTACAGGAGTCCTTACTCTAGGCTCTTATCCTGGCAGTTTTTCTTTTATGCTATAATTATTATTATTGTACTAATTGCAACCTGCTGTTTTATTCAATTTATTCCAAATTTATTCACATTTTTTCGTCCTGCTTCCCCCTCTCTTAATCCTCTACAATTGCGATACATTCATAAATCTTTGAATCCTCCATTTAAAATAAAAAACGAGGATATGTAGAGTTGTAATTGCAGGAATGTTCCAATCTCGGATGGCAAACCTCAGATAAAGAATGTTTCCAAGCAAATACAACTCAGGTAAACAAAGTCTCTAATCTAAAGGAGGATTAGAGAGAGGAAGTAAACATATGTTAGACTTTAACTAGAGATAATTAATTGTATGGATTATTGTGCTAAACAGCAACGAAAGTTAAGCAGTAACCAAAGTTAACCAGTGATGGAGGATAACTAAAAATGTGTATAAATGCAAGACTAGACTCCAATAAAGATCATCATGATTCAGTTGTTCATGATCAAACAACTCGACTGCCTCGTCATTACAACAGACTTATAAATGTTAAATAGCTTTATCAGGGTATTTTTAGAGTGCTTAAGAATTTACATTGCATTCCCAAAGTAATTTGGTGGGACTAGGAAGAAATCCTCTATAAGAGGTTAGAATCTGACTTCTGACCCAATACAGTCTCTATATCTATTGTACTGTACACAGTTGGAATGGTTAAAAAAAGAAGGCATATCACAGCTTGTTTGCCTAAGCCAAGGACTAGATAAGAGTAAGCAAGTGTGTCTGTGATGGTTTTAATGTCAAAGCTGAGCTATTTATCAGTATTATAGTTCACAAACCTCTACTTACATTTATCTTCTAGTTACATATACACCTTCAACGAGTTCATAAAATGCATGGAATTGGCTAAACTTGTACACTTTTAACCAAGTATATTCTGGGATTTCAAGTATGCTTAAACTGATCTCTCACTGTTTTCTATTTGTCGTGCATGATGGTAGCTAAACCCTTTACACTTTAAAAAAAAAAGGAATTAAATTACTAGATATCTACTAAAATTCTATAAGTGCTAGTTCAAGACCTATTTAGAATGAAAGCTTAGGAAAATAATTACCGTACAACAAGCCAAATAGTGCCACCTCCTGGTGAAAAATAAGATTCTATAAAAAAAGAGTCTGGATCAAAAGCTTCCCGCAAAAAAAAATGACAGAGCATTTATTAAGTAAAAATGTTTCAAACTATATAATATTGGTAAGAAAAGCAAGATATTTCACAATTGTAAAATTATAGCTAGAATTTAAGTAAACAAAAAATACAAATTAAAAATAAGGGCTATACAGTGCATCAGAACCCGTTCCCAAAGGTGCTTCACAACATGGAAATGTGTGAACTAAGCATTGGTCTGCAACTTTTTAAAGTAGCCACATCTTTTCCCAGGATTGCTCATCTTCCCTCTGCAGTTGCCTTCTGATCTGGAAAAAGACACGGATGCTTTAAATAGCTGCCCGAAGTTACTATGTTTTACACTCCACAGACTTTTAAGTTCCATTTTGGAATTGAATCTAAGGCGCATCATAACCCTATTAAAATTATTACAACAAAGCATTTAACCAATTGAAAACACTATGTTTCATATAACACAAGAAGCCAAGTTGAAAAGCTCTAAACACATAAGGCTATCAGTCTCCAAAAAGAAAAGAAAAAGTTTGCGATTGTATAGATTTTTCACACTGAGTCAAATCTGGCAGTTTGATTCATAGAGAACTCTGACTGCTTGTCAAAAGAGAGAATAAAGTTTTCAAGAGGAAAATGTTATTCGGTACAAGAAGTATAGAAGGTTATCTGAAAGACATTTTCTGAAAGACAGAAGCTTTGTCATCCTTTAGCTGATTCTTGGGAACAAGGATGCTCCTAAGCCCAACTTAGAGAAAGCCTATTGATTCATAGCCACCTGGATGCCAATTTACAACTAGAGTTGTATAGACAAAATAAAATAAAATAAAAGGCAAAGTGGAAAGATTCTCTCCTAATCCTGATCAAGCAAAGTCAGCCTTCCTCTTCTATCAAATTGCAGACTGCATATCATACTGTAGGTACTGAACAATACCTCTTGAAAACAGTGTTACCACCATTTAAAAAAAGTATTACTCTGTTTTTTTATATACATTAAAGTGCAGTCTTTTTTAAAGTAGTCCATATCCCTTGGAAACTGATCTGGAAGCTCTGCAGTAGTATTGTTAGTACTGATAATGTCATAATTAAGTATATCAAAGCCCTATCTCTTTCACTCAATTGTGAAATGGCTGAAACTGTGGTAAGCAGAAGAGAATACAATGCCTTTTAAGTGTCTTAACTTACAGAATGAAATGTGAAATGCATTTTTACTCAACTGAGGCAGCAGCTATCTCCACAATTTTAAGCATTTAAGCTTTATCATTTGGTAACATTCTTGCATGTTCCAAAATATATTCCTATAAAACAGATCCAAAAAGTTATGTGATTTTCACACTAATTTGCAACACAAAGTCACTTTCATAAAGCTACCTGGCTTTAGGAAAGAACAAAACATTAAACTCCAACTTAAGGCCCTGCATTGTTCAGTAAGTCCTCTATTTAAAGAAGAAAGAAAATAAAATCTATTCTACATCATTATCTTCATCATAGTATCTGTTCTTCTTGATCTGTTCTTCCACAGTTAAACCTTCTTGGTCTTCTCCTTCAAAAAGCCCTGCATCTTTGGATCTATAATTTGGATTAGTGGAGAATTCTTTTTCATTTGAGAGAATCAAGGATGAATATTCTGGAGAGATACACATCATTGGTTCTTCCTGAAGAGACACTGGACATTTTTCTTCTTCCTCCTCCTCTTCCTCCTCCTCAGGTTCAGCATTATTCTGCCCATTCTTAAATAGGGACGCTTCATTTTGTGCTTCTTCTTTTTCCTGATCTAGTTCTCTATCCTTCTCAGCAGTATTTGGGGTACCAACATACTCGATTGTACTGCTTTCTTCCTTTGGTTTGTTTTTGACCACCATTTCCTTCACAAGCTCATCACTCTGCCTTGTTGTACTTGTTTCATGCTTGGGAGGAGATGAGTTTTCCATTCGATAATTCCTCACAGATACTGTTCTAAATGAGGCAGCTACCGTAAATGGTCGACATCTTTCTTTTAATGATGATGTTCTGCGTAGCTTCTTAAGATCTTGATCCACTTCTTCCTGGGGATCTGGTTTCTGGACCTCATCCTCTGGAGGCCACTTTGGTTTGAATACTTTAATGCCTTCTTCCAAGACACTCCCATGACTGCCTTGTTCGGGAGATGGCGGCCAGGAAATCTTCAACTTTTTTGTCTCTGTAGTTTTTTCCTCCTTCTCAGACATTCCAGCGGCTTTTGCTTCCATGCTGGCAGCTAAAACCCCAACTTTTGCAATTGGGGCATCTTCTACTCCTGGACTATGAGGGGCTTCCACAGCATTTCCAACACAGTCATCAGTCTCAGTTTTGCTTGCCCATAGTTCTTTGTGAGACTTATGCCCAAAACCTTCATCATAATTACCTTTGGATTTAAAGAGCTGGTTAAAGTGAGGCTTGCAGTAAACATGTCCTTGAAGAGAAGCATATGTTCCAAGTCTGTATAGGGAAGATACATAAAAATGCCCATTAGTAACTCACACAATTGAAGAAGCTTACCATGCCTTCAAAATTAAAAAAAAAAAGTGCCAGTTGTTTTATCACTGACTCCATAAGACAACCTAAGCTAACATATGAGATTGGGCAGTTGCATGCATATACTGTTAAATATACCAATCTAATAACTCTAGTTGTTCTGTTTAGAATCACTTTCCTTATATAGCAACTTTAAAAGGGGAAACTTTCTAAGATTTTTAAAAAATGCTCATGGTTATTAAGAGGAATACCTGCTGTTGTATTACAAAGGGCCATATATAAACAGAAAACTTTTGTACCCAATCTGCAGATGGAAACTATCATAATGAACCATGTACAATTCATTTAAGGACAAACCATTTTTATTTATTTTTAAAGCTGAACAGGACAAGTGGATTTTGACTAGAAAAGTATCAGGGATTTGTGCAGCCGGTGTCTAAATAGATTCAGAGATGCTGACACGAACCAGTTTTATATAAATAAATATATTTACAGTAAATAAGATAGGCAAACAGGAGCATCATTAGGTAAATCAACACAGAAGGAACATCATGAGATAAAAACACAGAGAGCACATATGTAATATAGAGGAAAAAGGTGGGAAACAAGGAATCTCCCCCCTTTACTCTCACTGCAACCAATTAATTACAGCTCAGATTCCCCCATGCAGTGGTCAGCTCTGTTTAACTAATTAGGTATAACTGTGTGTTCTCATTCATTGTCCAATCCTTTATTGCTCCAGCTATTAAAATTTAAATGTCTTAACAAATGGATTTGAAATATAGGTAGTCCTTGCTTAATGGTGGTAACTGAAACCAGAATTTCCATTGTTAAGGAATATAGTCGCAATGTCATGAGACTACACTGCTTAGCAATGGTAATCCCAGTAGTCCCCATTAGCGATAATAATTATCCGATCTTATTTTTGAAAAAGAAAATCAAGATTAATAGCCTTCTCTAGGTCTAACGCTGTTGATTTTTTAAAGCCTAGAATAGATGATCATACGGATTTTAATTTTCTTTTTGCTACCTCAGTTAGAAAACCCACAGTAAGCTTTATTATCTATGACTACTTCGTTGTGAGCATATATAACTGCTCCCAAATTATTATAGCTCTTGAACTTCTTGTGACCATCCAAAGACTATACTCAGTTCACATTTTGGTGTACCTCTACTATATTAAAACCATTTCTCTACCTTAAAGCACGCTAGAACATTACAGGCACTACTTTTATTTTATTTGAGGCTTACGTGAGTTTGCTACTGCAGTAAGAACAACGGAAACAGCTAATGTGATAGACTTGCTGGTTGGCAAAGAGACGCTCCATTGGATATACCGTCTTCTTGCAAGCAATACATATTTCCTTTGCTGGCACCTGAAATTTCTGTTGAAAGAAAAATGGGTGAATGGTGTAAATATGAACAATCTTTTGGTATTTTTCACTGAAGAGTCCTAAAGTTATCCTCTACAGAATCTTCCTCTAAAGTTAATACAGATTAAATTATGTAATTTAAAAAGAACATTCTCTCCTATGTGTACCTAGTCCTAAACCTCGTCACATTTAGCATTCTTGAAAATTTTTGCAAAAATCCCAAAATAATTTAGTAGACTATTTTTTGTTGCTATTTCTAATAGGCTTCAGAATTTGTCAAGCAACCAGGTAGAATGGACAAAATTCTAGATTTCTGCCAATTTAATGCTGCAGCTGTATATTCTTCAGCATCTCTAGAGAGACAAAAGATTCAAAACAGAGGTAATTGAAGAGAGAGACCAGAAGCAAAAGCAGCAAAGGCACTTAAGAGTCTAAAACACGGGTGTCAAACTCGAGGCGTCATGGTGCCATCGCATGCCGTTTCACGACTTTTTTCCCTTTGCGGAGCTGGGGTGGGCGTGGCCTGCGCATGACGCATCTGGCCTATGGAGCACCAGTTTGACACCCCGGTCTAAAACAATGAAGACAGATTTAAAGGCTCTAACCAAATACTTAAAATGTTGGCACTGATTAGTTTCACTATGAAAAACACCATCATCCTGAGGATTATATCAAGCCTACTCTCGGTTTAAAATGCCACTTACATTTCTTTTCTTTTTTTTAAGGTGGCAAATTAATGTCCAGAACAGCTCTGCTAAAGCATGCTAGAACTAGACAGTCAACACCACTCAGAGCTGGCTTATGGTTGGAAGCATGTAGGATTGCTCCTCTTCTCTCTTTTCCAGTGCTCAAGCCTGGGGCTTCTGCCTTCACCCAAGCAGAAAATGCATGAGAAAGCATACACAAAGTTGAAGGAGCGAAAGGAGTTAGGGAAGCTCAAGGTAGCTACAGGCTACAGTCAAAAAGTCACGATGGGAGCCATAACACAGGTAATCTTCAACTTACAACCACAATTGAGATCAAAGCTTTCATTACTAAGCAAGGCAGCTGTTAAGTAAGTCATGCATGCAAGTTTATGGCATTTTTTGGTCACAACTGTTAAGTAAATCACTGTGATTGTTACATGAATCATGCAATTTGTTAAGCAAACCAGCTTCTCCCATTTACTTTGTTTGTCAGAAGCTGTCTGGGAAGCTTGCAAATGATGACCACATGGCTCGAGGATACTATTGTAAATTGGTTGCCAAGTGCTGGAATTTTGATGACCACCAGGGCTCTGCGACAGTCATAAATGCAAGAATGGGTTGTGACTTTTTTCAGCACTACAGTAACTTTGAACTGTCATTAATTGAATGGTTGTAAGTTGATGGTTACCTGTAGGGCGGTCAATGCTCTGCTTCCTTTTTATGACTGATTGTAACCTCAGTGAATTTACCTGAGCAATTAAGTTTTTATCACATGTTCTGCCTTCAAAATCAATTGTCAAACAATTGATTCTTATAGTAAACTATCTACTGAAATAACTTCTGGAATTGGTGCTTCAACAGGCAGAAATTATGAATGTGTTCTAATGTATCAAAACTCTTCCTGTACGTTATAATTGCTATAAGAATGGGTTGTCTAAATAAAAGTGAAAACAGACTGGGTGGCACAAATTAAACAAATAGATAGGACAAATATGAGCGGAAAGAGATGCGCTGCCAGATATTCAAGCAACGTTGATTAACTAACAGTATTGTACCTAAAACATGTTAAGATTTCAGTTGGTTTAAATGCCTGATGTTACTTTATACATGGGTTAGCTACCCCACAGCTTTTGGAAATGGGTGGCAAAAAATGCACAAGGCTGGTTTTGTGTTCTATAGAAAAAGTTTTCTGAAAAGAAAGAAATGTTGCACATAATGAAACATTTTTATTATAATGATCAGGGAAGCGACAGCGCCATGGAATTCCCCTAATAGTGCAGACTATAGATCCTTCTAAAGAATCCAGGAAATAAATTTGAATATTAAAACTCCGCCTTTTCCAACTTGCTCTTGGAACAGGCACTTGCAATAAATGACATCAGTTGCAGCAATGTATGTTCCCTTTTCCAACTTACATGGGAGAAACTTTTGGGGTGTGCAGAAGTATATTCCTTTTCAAGCATGTTATGAAGAACAACTACAGTAGAGCCATGAAGTCCAGTTAATAATTAAAAGAGGAGAGGACGCAGGAAAGCTGAGAGATGAGCTCACGTTAAAAAGGAAGCAGAAGACAGGAATAGAGATAAGAAACCAGGAGCAGGAAACAGAAGCTGAAAAAGACAAATGACTATTTATAAACGTTATATGGATTTGTTGGAAAGTACACTGAGTAGTTCCCTCCAGTGACAAATATTTTATTATAAAGCTAATTAAAGTAGGCTCAGCCGCTAAGAAATTCCTTTATGAACAGGAAAAAAAATTCAAAACAAAGGGTCACAGCATATATACTACAGTATAACATATTTCACAAACAACTGTTCAGGAAAAACTACATGGACATATCAATTGAAATTATTAGCAATACTGCACGATTTCCTATTAAAAGCTGACAACCTCTCCCACAAATTAGCGGTAAACAGAAATCAAATGTCAAATGTTCTGGTTTCCACATTTCTATAACTCAACATTTCTATAACTCAAAAAACATATCATGTACAGTAACCTTCTTTCTACCCTTTTAACAGACCCAGTTGAGAATGGAATTTAGTCTATTGTAATTAAAATGTAGAGAGAAATATAGATTGACACTTGTCTTCATTATTTCACAAATGTCACCAATAGTCACAGAAGACCTTATGATATGTCAGCAACGGGACTTACTCATGGCTAAACAAAGTTTGAAGCACTTTGTGTTTTTAGAAAACATACATTCATGAAAATATGTTAAATACAAAAACATAAGCTTAGGGACTCCAAAGCAGAATTATACTGATAAACCAGTCCTGAAATGAGTTTCTAAATAACTAGATATTTCTAGGCCTGCATATGTTTTCTTTTTTCATCTGTGTGTACACGCATGAACATGTAGCCATGTCATTGTTTATGTGTATATCAACATATTTGTGTTGCTTATTTTTGAATGCATTCTGTATGTTGAATAAAAAAATTAAATCATGTTATACAGAAACCAGATACAGATACAGTTTTTCAAAATAGCTTTTGTTGAGATGTCCTGAGAGTCAATGTGAAATCACCATTAAGGTGCTGGAACAGTGTTAAGAGACACCAATTTGGTCATTTTTTCTCAACTCACTCTGTCTTCCAGAATTGTTAGAGGAAAAACTGGGTTAATGGAAAAAAAAGGCAAGACATAAATCTAACAAAGGAATAAATTAATATATTTTTTACAAATTCACAGAACTATAACGTACTATACTTTCATGACCTAAAATGTGGAAAACGATAACTTAATAAAATTTTGGAAGTCAAAAAACAGCATGATCACAAAAGGAAACACAGGCAACAATGTACAACCGACTAGTTTACATTTTAGATTTTTTTTCCTACGTTGCCCATTAATGAAAAAAAATATCCAGTGTACCTTCACTGCTTTGGGAGGAGAGCTGTCGGACTGAGTAGATGCTCTAGAATTAGGACTTTGCTGTTTGGCATGGACAGGTCTTGCAACTTCAATCTCTTTCTGGAAGTTACACCCGGCTAGAAACAAACGGACTCGTATTAGGTTCTTTTCCTCCAAACTCGTGAAGACAAGGCTCTGCCACCCAATCTCATTTCCACTCCTCAGTTCCACCAAATCATTCTGCAGCCAGCCAAGCTATCAACACTGATGCAGTTGAAGAGTGACGAGCATCTGTCTGAACCCGAATGCTTGCTGTGAAAGGAGACTTCTGAAGCTGTTAGGCTACATTCCATTTCAAGCACTTATAAACAAAACATTATATGACACCCAGGATCCAGTGAGGCAAGAATTTCTGGCAAGAGGAAAAATGACTTCCCATAAATTTTGCAAAGCAAAAATAAATAATATTTCTATGTGATACTGGATACACTGCAACTGAGTTAGAAATTAGTCAATGTGACAGCTGAACCTACATGATGGTCTGGTTTTACAGTGGTGCAAAGACCCTATATCCATGTTGGCGAACCTATGCCACATGTGCCGGAAGTGGCACGCAGAGCCATTTCCCTTGGCACGCGAGAGGTTGCCTGAAAGAGCCCCACTGCGCATGTGCACGCGCTGCCGCCCGACAGCTGATTGTCGAGTATCTGGAACGTATGCACAGGGGTGGAGGGGTGTGTGCAGGAGATGTGTGCATATGTGCAGAGATGCGCTGTGCAGGAGGGGGAATCTCACACGCATGCACAGACATGCGGCGTGCAAGGGGAGATCATGTGCACATGCATAGACGCACAGTGCACAAGGGGGGGTTGTGTTCACATGTGCAGGAGGTGTGGGGGGCCCAGCACGCATTGCCTTCTGGGTGCTGGCATGTGGGAGCCGAAAAAGGTTAGCCACTACTGCTCTATATTGAAGTGCCCATAGATAAATCCTAGTATTAAAAAAATTAACTTTTAATTTGTGTTTCACAAGCTGCAGCTGCATAAATGTTTTGTCTATAAATGAAGCTAATTAAGTAATGCAGAGTTTAGGTTTTAAATGACTGGTGACTTATCTGTTTGACCCAACAATATTTTCCTACCACATAAAATAAACTGTTAAGTACTTTTCTGAAGAGAGGAAATTGAAAAGCACCCAAAAAACCAAAAACATAGAGGTATGGTGCAAACTTAAAAATCAAGAAAATACAGTGTATTATCCAGATAGAAAACAGTATTAAATAAAGAATTATAGATCCACTAGCAACATTGCAGAAGAACTGTCTTTCAAGGATTATTGGCTAGAAACAATATATTGGAAATAATTAAGAGATGCTTTTATGCTTTGTAGTCTACATATCACCTGTCTGAACTCTTTAAAGCTGCCACATCCTTTCCTAAGATTAAGCAAAATTCCGTAACAGATTATATAATTGGAGTAAGTTAAAACGTATTTACTTTTTAGCCTCTGGGATCAATTATTTATTTTAAAATATATTCTATTATTTTGTAGTTCAATGTTTCGGTGGGAAGCAGTATGTAGAAGCATTTCTGTACTTCATTTGATCAGATTCAGTCACATAAATTCTACCAGTTAAAGTTATTTGCCATCGACTAGACAAGATTTCCTTCATTAATTGTAGTCTTTTATTTTAGTCGATAAAAGCATTGCATCGGTACATATACAGATAGTCCTCAACTTATGACCACAATTGAAGCCAAAATTTATGTTGCTAAGTGAGACATTTAGGTGAGTTTTGCCTCATTTTATGACCTTTCTTGCCACAGTTATGTGAATCATTGCAATTGTTAAGTTAGTAATGCAGTTGTTAAGTGAATCTGGCTTCCCCATTGACTTTGCTTGCCAAAAAGTGGCCTCAGGACACTGCAACCATCAAAATACGAATCAGGTGCCAAGCATACAAATTTTGATCACATGAGATGACCATGGGGATGTTTCCACCATCATAAGAGTGAAAAATGGTCATAAATCACTTTCTTCAGTGTAACTTGGAAAGGTTACTAAGTGAACTGGTGTAAGTCGAGGACTACATGTAATGCTAAAAAGTGCTGTGTTTAATTTTAGATGAAGGGTTTTTTTTGGGGGGGGGGCATTCTTTAAAGTAAAATAATAATTGACAGGACAGATCTGTTTTAAATCCTTGGTTTTCTACTCTGATTAAGACAGAAAGAATGGAAGGTTATTTTCCAATAATGAAGCATAAGGGAATAATAAATAAATAAAAAGAAATAAGCCTTCTCTCTCCCTATTCTACAATCCTAAAATAGTTTTCTCCTACTCTGAGTATAAAATAGTTTCACTCACACACAATTTATGTAAAACTATAATTAACTATAATTAATCTATAGTTAGCCTTAAAATAGCATATATTTAGGTTAATTTAATTGTGGTTTCATCTGTGCACCAAACTATTACTTAGAATTTAGATAATAAACCTGTGGTTAACTAAAAGCAGAAGAACCAGATCTATTTGTATCTTATGATTCTTGATGAATGTATTTTTTTCTTTTTATACACACTGAGAGTATATGCACCAAAGACAAATTCCTCGTGTGTCCATTCACAAGTGGCCAATAAAAAAATCTATTCTATTTTACTAAAGAAAAAGATTAAGTGAGACCAAGGAAAGTTAGCCTGGTGTCTCTTAGGATAAGCTATTTTTGCCTTGCTAATTCCACCAAACAAGCTATTTCTAACTTATCTGCACATCCATTCACATTCCTTTCAGGAGACAACACAAAACGTACACTATTTCTAATACACACTAACTTGAAGGAATAGCTTGGCTTCCATATGAGATCACGCTGTCTGATAAACAATGATGCCAAGCAGTTTTATATTCCAAATTTTTCATTTGTTTTCTGCACTTACAGTAGTCTCTTATCTCTGTTTCTATTGGCAAATCCTCAAAATAACCAACCTCAACTGGGGTAGGAACTTCCATTGCTAAGTAATGAGGGCATTAAGTGCATCATGCCCAATTTCGCAATTTGTTTTGCCACAAGTTGTTAAACCAATCTTGCTTCCCCTGTTGGCTTTACATGTCAGAAGCCCCCTGGAAAGGTTGAAAAAAAAATGACCATGTGACCCTGGGATGCTGCAACCTTCAAAAATAAATACTGATTGCTGATTTTGATCATGTGCAAGTTATTAAGTGTGAAGACTGGTCATAAATTACTTTTTTCAGCACCACTATAACTTTGAACAATTATTAAATGAAAGTTAAGGACTATCTCTATGGCAAAATCCATTTAATTCTATTTTTTTTAAAGTCAGAAATGATTAACCATTATGCAAGCAAGGAGAATGCAATCTAATCTGTTTTAAGCTCATGCAAAATTCTTAAAGGGTTCAGACTACAGAACAATCAGTTGTGGAGTGATTTAGGCAGTTTTACTTCTGACTGATTATACAGAAGACTGGAATGTTTCCAGAATTAGGTTTCAGAAGGCAAAGTAGGTATTTTTCTGAACTAAATAATTGATAAAAGCTAAAAGACAGGAGGATCTTCAGGGTAGCATCGCAAACTGAGCATAGGTGCTTTTTGTAGAACCTATGAATATGGTCAAAATAGGAGCTGGTGAAGAGATCAGCTCATCAGAATTCTTCTCGGGACTATGAAAAAAATAAAGATCACCCATGTGGATCTATTTAAAAATGCCAGAGATATTTGATTGTAAATGTCTTAACAGCAGCTAGAATTGTATTTGCGAAGAACTGGAAAAATGACAAAATACCTATGCAGGAGGAAGTTATCAAAAAAATTATGGACTGTGCTGAAATGAGTAAATTGACATTTGAAATTAGAGAACAAGAAGATAAGCAATTTTATATGATATGGGATTTGTTTTATCAATGGTTGGATAAAAAGGCATGGTAATATAATAGACTAGATAATTTTGTGATAGAAATCTAATAGATTGATATAAAACATGATACAGATATATATAACCACTGGTTGAAAGTATAACATAAATTTTAAGATAAAATGTGGAACATCTCGTATAAAACGATGGAATAAATAGTTTAGTCCTGGATGATTAATAACTGATAAATATACAAACATATGTTAGTTTGACAAAGTGAAGATTGATATAAATTGTGAGTAAATGACTACAAAAGTATAGCACAAAAGATACGTAATCAACTGACACACTGTATGTATATAAAATGGAAAAGGATTTTATGTTTTTATGTTTTTGTATGGTATGTTTGTGTTTAAAAATAAAAAACTTTATCTACAAAAAAAAATGCCAGAGATAAGAGTGATGTGCAAAAAGATGTCAAGATGAATTTACCAATTAAACCAGTTGATGTTCTGATAGTTAGAGACATGCAGGTATAATCAGAAGACTGTCTTGAAAAGCCTTCTTACTTTGGATTTACAAAAGCAACATATGTGGAGCCAGGGAAATTTTCTCAGAGAAGAGACAAAAAGGAACTGCTCAGACGAACACGAAGGGAAATTGATAAGAAATCAACTTGTGGAACAATACTTGATGGGCCTAAAGATCAAGCTTTTTAAAAAGTGAAAATAAGACATATAAAGTGCATAAGGATTAAAAAAAATATTTTCTGGTAGTTGTTAATGGAACTGTATGAGAAGGCTTTAAAGATCTATTTCTAAGTGGGAATAAATTTCTTCTGCTTTTTCGGCTCCAAAATAAGCACTAGGGCTTATTTTTGGAGAAACACAATTTCAGGGTGATCAGCCCAGCTGAATGCCCCACCCCCTGGTCTGTGCACATGAGACACAGGGACTGACGGTATCCGGCAGCAGCTGCAGCCCGCCAGTCCCTTGATTACACACTCTGGGGCTGTGCAGCCCATGCAGTGCAGGTGAGTTGCTTCCCTGTCCAAGCAACAGATGGGAGGCAAAGATGAAGGGGGGAGGCAGGCGATCCAGGTACACAGCACAGATCACAGAAATGCCGAGATTCAGTGGGCCAGAGTGGGTGGCTGGCTCGTCTTCATGTGGCAGTACTGGCAGCAGGCAGAGGTTCGGGGTGGAAGACAGAATAGCCTGCCTTCCTTGTCGCAACTCTGCCTCCCTCTGCTATTGGTGCTGCTGTGTGAAGATGAGCAACTCTGGGCTTTCTTGTGGCTCACACAAAGCGTCCAAATCGTGTGCCTCGCCCCTCACCTCTGCTTGTTGGTTGGACAGGGAATCAATTCACATGCACAGCATAGACTGCTGCTGCTGCCAGACACCATCGGCCCATGCGCACTCACTGCCTCCTGTGCTGGCCACACCCACCCTTTCACTAAGGCTTATTTTTGAGGTAGGGCTTATATTAGGTGCATGCTTAAAAATTGAGGTAGGGTTTCATTTTCAGGGTAGAGATTATTTTCAGGGAAACACACTAATTCCTTATTTTGTAGGTTTGGGAATAAAAGAGAGATTAAGAACTCACCAGTGCCATCTTCACAGAGACTGGAATTCAAACCATCTCCTACTAAAACCTGTAGGAGAGATATGTATATGAACCATCTTTTCTTATGGAGTTATCCAGAGAACTAGAATTTACCTCATTTGGCAAGCAGAAAAGCAGAAAAACAGGCAAAGTTGTTGGGAAAAGCACAAAGCAGATTGTGATGCAAAAACCGCAGCATTACTGCCACATCAAATCTTAAATTGCCACAAACCAGCAGTCCCTACTATTGCGGATTAAATAAACATTATACCATGCCTGAAGGTTTCTGAGGACTACAAAGCTAGCAATTGGCAATGTGAAAAACAGAACACTCCCAGAGAGTGTCCACATAATCCAAACATTAAGTAATGTTTTAATTTATTATTTATATTTTAAAATGAACTGCATATGATCACCAAATCACAACCTGAAATCTTATCAGATTTAGATGATAAAGCCAAAGACTCTTACATTTGGTAATCCCAAAGTTTTCACTCTATTCCCCCCAAACTTTGGCACCAGTATTAGAGAAAAATAATATCTTTGAGTCCTTGGATCAAACTTGGAACAACTGCTACAGAGTTTTAGACTCTATTTGTAGTTATTTGCATTTGGCTAACAAGTCCAATCCTCCAGCTCCAAGATTTGTCTGTCTATCAAATTTATATGCTTAAATGTATAATTTACATTATCATGATTTTGCAGCTCAGGTGCTTGCAAATTGTTTGATCAGGTCAGATTCTATGTAATTAATGAATATTTCAAAATGAAGTACATTCAACATAGGTATTATAAGTCTATTTTCTTTGAGTAAAATTCCACTTCATTTCTATAGGTGCATCCATGTTTAATTTTTTAGTATGGAAATGATTTGCCACTGGAACCTTCTGAATCTTTTTTTCCAACCTTAAAATTACTAGGAGATCTCCCTTTCAAGCACCAGCCAGGCTCAACTCTGTTTAGCTTCAAAGGCCAGACAAAAGAGATCACTCTCTAACCTTTTGGGCTTGGCAGCCCAGTGGGGATGTGGAGGGGATGGTACTGTGTGAGAGGCAGGCTTGTGCACAAGCACAGCTCCATTTGTTCAAGAGCCCATCACTTGCCCAAATGGAGATTTCTCTGTGAGTGGAAATGTCTGCTGCTCACGCAAGTGGAACTCCATACGTGTTTGGTTGCCACTCATACAGCCTAGTTCTGAATGTGCTGCAGCCCTGTTTTGGGCTACCGCCCAGGGATTGGGGACCCCTGTTTTACATTCCTCCCTAAGTGGTTTACAGAGTCAGCATATTGCCCCCAACAATCTAGGTCCTCATTTTACCAACCTCGGAAGGATGGAAAGCTGAGTCAACCTTGAGTCGGTGAGGATTGAACTACTGGCAGTGAGCTAAATTAGCTTGCAATACTGCGTTCTACCCACTGCACCACCATGCCATTTAGCCTTTGAACATTCAGTCTTCAAAAATCGAAAGAAGCATCTGGGGTGATACTATCTTTCTATACACCTTTGTTTCTTTATGTAAGTAGTATAGACAGATAGTCTTTGGCTTACAGCTGGTCACTTAGCAACCTTTTGAATTTACCCTAACCCTAATAGGCAACCCTCTCCCCAAAGGTACTTAAAGACTCTGTTGTTAAAGTTCCAACCGCCCCAATCACTTGACTTATTTTGAATATTCATCAACTAGCCTGCATTTATGGCTGTTTGCAATGTCCCATGATCATGTGACTGTGATATTTGTCAAAAACCATTTACTTCTGGGTTTTGGCAAAAATCCCTCAAAATGCATGATGGCCACAAAAAAAAGGTTGTATAATTGGGTTGGTTATGTGGGTGGACCTGCTTTGCAACCATCACAACTTACAACCGTGACAGGCAGGCTCCATTTGAATACTAAGTCCAGGACTACCTACAATCTCCCACATTTCTTCCCCTCAACACTGATTGACTATCTTTTAACACCTTGTTATTTGCATTACAACTTTTAATTTGCATGTCAATGCTTATTCAGTCCACATTTGAGAACAATGTACCATATCAGGAAGAAACACCAGCTTATCTTCACTTAATAAAAGTAGAACTCAGCTTTTTATCTATAGGAGAGGTTCTATCTGGAATTTCAGAGAACTGATCAATATGTACACACAGGCACAGAGTGTGTGTGTGTATACACATATACACATCCAAGCTATAGTACAGAGCAATCATAAAACAAGTCATGCCCCATTCTGAGTAAAATGGTGTCTCTGCGCCCACAATATTCACCCTGTTAAATCAAATGCACCCTAAGACTGCTCAATTAAGGAATTAATACACCGTAATAAGCTTAACTGCAGCTTCCTTCTAATTTACAGGGAAAGCCCCACTGTGAGCAATTAAACTGTGCAAATTAACAAGAAGCCAAGTAAGCTGGGCTAATATTCTGTGCTTGTGGGTCTGATTTGGAGAAACAGATGATCCCAGGCATTTCACAGCACATTCAACGGCACTCTCAGTGAAAGACACTCATGTTTTAAGCCCTCACGTGATATGAAGCAGTGCTTTTGACATGCAATTGGAGAATTAACATGCTGGTAGGTTTATTAAATATTCTTGCGCACATTCTGCCGATACCTAGGAAAGCTGTCATAACTTTCCCCGCCCCTAATTTCCACATTTCCTGCATGAACTTCTCATGCGTATCAAGCAAGTGCTTAATCGGGGCAGAAGGGAAAGCCACAAGAAGCCTATAAAATCATAAGTTATTCACTCTTTCAAATCAGCAGGAAGAGGCCTTTTACTGAAAGCATCCATTCAGCTGTAGGAAAAGAACAAATAAGGGAAATTACTTCTTTAATCCATGGTGTTTGCTTTAAAATGAGCTGACCTTCTGCTAGGGAAGCAACTTTCAACAAACCAAGAAGTTACTAGAATAGGATTAAGATCAGTTTGCCTGAGAATGTGGAGAAAAAGCTCTATGTAAGGAATAAAAATGTGCCAACAGCTTTCAGGAAATAACGGTATGGGTTGTAAACATGATTTTTTTTTATGGGCATCTCATGCTGCTCAACACATTACTTCACATTCAACAACTCTATAAATCTATGCTTGGAAACAAAACAAAAAGCTACTAAGATGTATCCTGGGTACTATAATACATATTAAAGGCTCACTCTATTCAGTCTAAGACAGTGTTTCTCAACCTCAGTGATTTCAAGGTGGATTTCAAATCCCAGAATTCCTTAGTCAGCACGTTGGCTGGGGAATTCTTGGAGTTAATCCCATTTTAAACCTTCACAGGAATTCCATATCTGGTTTGTTTTAATTTTTACCACCATGGCAGTCCTCTTTACCTTTTCTTCAATGTGCTGAGGAAAGAAATTGTCAGAACATGGTGGCAAATTCTCCTTCTGCTCATAATTGTAGTCTTTGTCTTCATTTTCATTAGTTTGAATCTCATTCTATAAAAAAACAAAACACTTGAGTTTAATTGAACATAGGTTGAGTATATTTTTAATATGCCTACAACTAGATTTATATGTAGAAGAATATGGCAAAAAAGATGAAATAAATCTAATATTAAAGTAACAGACCCATTATCTATATCACAAGTATGTTGTTGTTTTAACCATTCAGTCGCTTGGTGATTTAATAGCGTTGGACATGAGTGAATGGTTAAAACCACACAGTATATATGTCCTATATTTAATTACCGTATTATTATGTTACCATTCAATTATATTCCTAAAGTCATTCTTAAGGCTAGAACTAAAATGATAAATTCATTTGATAGTGAATTAAAACCTGCAAAACCAACCAACTAATCAATCAATAATAAACCAAAAGCGTACCACCTCCCTTAAAATCTTATAGTAGGACCAGGTCCGCATATATAATGCTAAAGAAACTTGTCTGAAAGTTAAAGAAACCTCTTTCTAGAAAAATGGGTAAGAATTACCAAGTGACTCTCTCAATAGAAGCATTGATATGTAGTCCTCACTTACAACCGTTTAGCGATCGTTCAACAGCAGTTACAACCGCACTGAAAAAAGTGACCACCACAGTTGTTCTTCTCACTTACGATGGTTGCAACATCCCCACATCAATGGGGGGAATCTGGATTCACTTAACAATTGCATGATTCACTTAACAACTGTGGTATTTTGCTTAACAAGACATCTTGCTTGGCAACAGAAATTCTGATCCCAACTGTAGTCATAAGTCAAGGAATACAGAATATTCCTTGTACAGAATATTTCACCAGTAAGGCAAAACCCTGAAAAAAAGACCTCCTTTGGTAGTTTACTGTCTCAACTCTGTGGCAATAGACCTTCTCCTACAAATTTGGTTTCTGTCCCTGTTTAAATAATTCCATTACAGCCCTGATGATTTTTTTTTTCAATCTCACTCTGGTGCTAACTTAATCTTCATTATGTAATCAGTACCGTTAATAGTACAAGACAGAAGTCATGCTGCTGGATAAAAGTGCCCATTTGCTCCTGTTAAAAGGAAGATGAGCGAGGAGAATTGCAGCTGTGAGAACGATTGGAAAAATTATTACTGGGAGAATCATAATTCACTAAAATTAAATTCTTTCTTAAATGCCAAAACATCGCTACAGGGAAAGTAATAGTGCCAAGCTATATTACTGTGGGAAATACTTCACTGTATGGAATTTTCAAAGTTCAAAGATGCCAAACTTCATTGTAAAAACTTCACAGGGTTGAGAAAAAAATACGTTTTCCTTATGTTAACAAGAACAAGGGATATCAAACTGGTACCCCTCCCAATACTAAAATAATATTTTTTTTCTTTTGTTAGAAACCTAGCTGTATTTTGGGAAAAAAGGAATTGCAATGAGTATGGTTTATGATTTTCCCTGTGAAATAGGCCTGACTGAACTTTTGCATTGGAGAAAGAAAAGCTGTCTTTTTTTTTTAACCAAAGCTTTATTTGCAGTCCACTTCCCCCTCTGCAATACACGGAACTATTAAATATGCAAAATAGGAGGAGGAGAGATATCTTCCATGACTGCTTGCCTTGTCAACTGCAAAGAATTTGGTGAAGAGAAATGTTTTCCTTTAAAAATCATATTAGGCTTTTGCAAAGGCTTAGGGAGAAAATGCACTTTGTTCACCCCCAAAATTCTCTGTTTCCTAAGCTGAAGAACATAAACATAAACTCGGATGATAGGGTTGTCAGGGCTGATGGCCTCTATTCTACTCTCTTATTTATGGAACTCAGAAACTTACATACTGCCTGACATCCACAAGTCTTAAAATTCCCAAGGTTGGAGACTCCTGGTCTAACATATGGATAAATTAATCTAGATCAGAGCTGTAAAACTCGCATTGTCACAAGATGACGTGGCCAGCACATGACGCATCTGGCCTGAAGGCCGTGAGTTTGACAGCCCTGATCTAGATCTCTGTAAACAGAAGGAAATCCCATCCTAACCACCACCATCCCAGTTTATTTGCAGTTACAGTACTCCTATGCAGATACAGAAAATATCTGGGTTTCGCACAGTGAAATTGGTTCTCCTTATCAAATTTTCAAGTAAAATGCCATTCCTTGTTATCTTAGCTATCAGCTCTCTAAAATAATATGTAACAACTGTTACTAATGGATTTCATAGAATAGACAACTGAAGTCTAACCTCAATCAGCTGTTCAAGCTTTATCACAAATTAGCCTTGCGTTCCCCTTCCTTTTTATAACAACAGCTGACAAATGAGTTAGCAGATTCATCCTTGGGGAACTACTATTTTTTCCTAGAACTTCAAAGAACATTAACTGGAATTGGTGCAAAACAATACTGCAACCAGGGAGGAGGGCATCTAAACACTTGCAGCCGGTTTTAAGACCAAAAATGTTTTCAGTTTCAGAACTGCATTCATATATAAGAATCCAGTTTTCTTCAAGCTTTTTAAACATTTCAGTGGCTTAACTAGGGAAGAAATTTTCTTTGGCAAAACAGGTGGGTTAAGGTTAGCTTAAATACTTGTTAATTTATTGCCCAGACTCCAGAAATTATTCAAGTAGATATTGACCTACCCTAGGTTCATGTTAATTTACTAACCTCTTCCAAATATAATACAGAACATAGTAAAATGTTCAGTAAGCAGGATAGGATACAGTATATTTGATTACTTTAAATGCTATGGTCCCTCTCCTTAAAATATAACAAACTCATTTTAACAGGTTGTTGCTTGCAATTCCTTATTTCAAGTATGCAGTAGCACAAAATGGCATTCTGTAAGCATCTTCCCCTCCATGCAAAAAACAATCTGCAGGTCTTGGGAATCCTGATACTTTAGCACCCATAGTTAAGAGCAGCGTTCAGCATATTTACCTAGGGAAACATGCAGGAAATGTCACATCTGAAGGCAAGAATGGTAGCAGCAGAGCCATAAACCAAATCTATGCAGATTCTCAGTCACACAGAGGTCATGGTTGTCTCAGAGATGTTTTTTTTCAAAAGGCAACTGGGCTTTCTTTCGATTTCCTTGAAAATGTTTCACTTCTCATTCAAGACGTTTCATCAGTTGAAATGTCTTGGATGAGAAGTGAAACGTTTTCAAGGAAAAACAAAGAAAGCCCAGTTGCCTTTTGAAAAAGCACCTTTGAGTCTCTCATTCTCAAAGTTCTTTTTGCTTAGGCAAGGCAATTGCTACATACATTTTTATGAAAAAGTAGCTGTTGTAAGAGACCGGAGTTGTAATACATGGCTTTCTTGAAATTGTTCATTTGATAAATTGCTGTCCGCTCATTAATTATTCCCCTAAACTAGCCTTTCCCCCACTTGCTGCAAAAAAAAAAAAGACAAAAAAGAATATCTCCAAGTTGCATCTCCTTCAATGCAACATCGGTCAGCATTTTGGTGTGATCTGGAGTTATTGTTTGTTTCAATTGATCCTTGGAACTTATTGATAGTCTGCTGGTATTTAGTCTTAGGTGAGCATCCATATTCAAACTGTTGTTACCTAGTCAGGTAATGAAATGTCTGCAAACAACTAAGCTCAGAGGACACCCTAGCTGAATTCCTCTGACCCTGCAAGAGGATACTACCTATTAAATCTCAACCTACATTGCAGTTTGACATCAAGAAATACACAAAGCACAGGGAATGGGCTCCTACATCTAAATTTTATTTTACTGAAAAGCACAGAATTCTAAGCCAGAAACACAATTCTTTCTATGTTGAACAAAATAGCAAAATCTTTCCATTCCTTCCAGTATGGAAATATGGAATCTCTGATAGTTCTTTCGTTACAAAACTAAGTGCTTTAGTGCAAATGTAGAAATCATAAATGATAATGGTAAATTTTTTAAAGCATTCTGACTCTCACTTGCAAGCATAACTTATCCCTTTTGCTGTTATGGAGGCAAAAAAGTCAGAGAAAATCCCCCACACATAAAAAGAACCTGAAAGAGGTTCCACTAGCTTTAATTAGAAATAAGACTTTAAAAGGGGAACATTCATGACTCAAGAATGTTGAGTATTCAGGGCAAAGTCATCAGTAACATTTTAGACAGAATCCTCTACTGCAGAGCAGTGACAGCCACCCACTTTTAAAAAGTAAAACTTACCACATAACTGTGAGAGCCATTCTGCTTGGATACAGCCGCTTGGTACTTAGCAAGCCTATCCTTGATGGATGTTTCTGAAAAGCGAGGTATTTCTAGGTTTCTCCTGTTCTCTGCTTTCTCTGGGCTTGAAACTGCAGAGGAATAAAGCAAATTATCTAGAACCATGTTTTTCAAACTTGACCGGTTTAAGATGTGTGGACTTCAATTCCCAGCATTCCCCAGACAGCATGATTGAAAGTTTGACACACACTGAACTTCTAGAATAAACATACACAGCTGCTGTTACTGAGACCCATTGTAAGAGATGAAAACTTCACTCTGCTTAACACAATAACCACTTAATAACCCAGGTGGCCAAAGGGCATGAATTAATTCCAGCTCCATAACCAAAGCAAAAAAAGTTTACCTTAAAGAATGAACTTTGCCTTGTTTAAAGATTCCATTGGTTTCTTTGTTAATCTAAAGCTAAATTACAGGCAATAGCATCAGACCTGGATGCGAGTAGTTCAAGAGCTACCCTTTTGAAAATAAGATGACAAAAAAAATAACGAAAGTACAGGTGGGGGAAATCATATGATTTAGATGCTTATGCTTTTGGCTCCCCCCAAAAGCACTTCCCCATTCCCATTTGAGAAATGTATGAGGTTGTTACACATCATCCAGAACTGGAGTTGAAGTGGTTGCTTGGGGGCATAGGATTCAGGTTCATACAAACACAAATTGTACTTTATGTCACCCAATTCCAAATAATACAAATCACACTTGACTTACAAACTGTTGTCCAGTTTGCTTAGAAAAACAGGGAAGAGCTGCTGCAGCTGCTGTAGCAGGGCCAAATTTTATGTAATTACTATGTCACCACAGTTGATATGGGTGTAACTTACATCTACCAACAATTATACTGCCATATCTGTGGAGATCTGTCTCTACACCAAAGAAAAACATATTATCTCATGTTATGAGATCATGTTATCTCTTTTACACACAAGGATGTAGCAGTTGATAGTGATTGCAATCTCCAAAGACATTTCCATTTTATCCAAGGGATGCATTAGTATCTCCCCTTCAAGTAAACAGAGGTCATCACTAGAAGTCTGGTCTAGTAGTAGAGTAGCTATGAATATGAGGAAGTATCAATACCGAAGGTTACATATTTTTTAAAGAAATCCAATTGAAAAGGACAAAGTAATTATCCGCTCTAGAATGATTTTCTTGGTTCCATGTATCAAACTGAAAAAGAAATCTTTGATCCACCACTATGACAAGTTCCATTTCAAATCAAATTGTATAAAACACCATTAAACTCACATTGGCCTAAACCATCATTTCAAACTCTTAAGAGTACACACACATTTTTGTACTAACTTTTTTCCATCCCTTTTGCTATGGCAATTCCAGATAAAAAGTGATCAGAAGAAAAAAAAAGTACTACTTAATTTTCAGTTAGATTTCAGTTAAATCTCCACTCATAAATCTAATACCTTTACATTAAGAATTTATTTGGGTAATAATGTTTGGAAGTCTCTGGGAGCCATACCAAACATTTCTACTCCTCTGTATTAGATGATTTAGGGATGTTTCCATTCCTTCTCAGCTTCAATTCCCTATTATGGTTGATTAATTTCTATGGCAAAGGGCAATGTTCCTCAAATTTATGTGTGGACTTAAATTCCCAGAACTCCTTAGGCAGCATGTTGACTGGGTAATTCTTGGCACTAAAGTCTACACATGCTGTCTGGGACATTCTGGGAGTTGAAGCCCAAGTATTTTAAATTTGCCGAGGTTGAGAAACGCTGGTCTTAGACAACCTTTTGTCTGACATGGCATAACGTTTCCTATTTGGACAGGGAGTTTCATTCAGACTAGATCTGGAAGGGATCTTGGAGTCTTCTACTCCAACCCCCTGCTCAAAGGAGGAGACTCTGCCATTCCAGAGAGGTGGCTGTCCACTTTTTTTCTTAAAACCTCCAATGATGAAGCACCTACAACTTCTGAAAGCAAGCTGTCCCACTGGTTAATTGTCCTCGCTGTTAGGAAGTTTCTCCTTAAATCCAGATCGCTTTTTTTTCTTGAGTAGTTCCCAGCCATTGTTTCTTGCCTTGCCTTCTGGTGCTTTGGAAAAACGTTGATCCTCTCTTCTTTGTGGTAGCCCCTTAAATACTGGAATACTGCTATCATGTCACTCCTAGTCCTTCTTTTCTCTAGACTGACCATACCCAAGTCCTGCAACCATTCTTCTTATGTTTAGTCTCCAGGCCTTTAATTATCTTAGTTGCTCTTCTTTGCACTTTTCCCAAAGTCTCAACATCTTTTTTGTGATGTGGTGACCCAAACTGGATGCGGTATTCCAGGTGTGGCCTTACTAAGGATTTATAAAGCGGTATTAATACTTCATGTGATTTTGATTCTTTGCCTCTAGTTTATGCAACCAAGGATTGTATTAGCTTTTTTGGCTGTTGCCGCACACTGCTGGCTCATGTTTGGACTAGAAGACCTCAAAGTCCCGTTCAACTCTGTCATTCTGGTCTAGGCTACCGAGTTACTCGTAAGGAATTCAACCATTACTGACTGTATAAACTGAAACCATTGTGCCTCTACCAGCCTTATGTATGTAAGGAGAAAATCCCATTAAATTAATTCTTCACATATGCTGAAGCACTTTGTACTTATTTTGTATATATGATATTTTGATTTCTTTGTCTCATGTACAATGATTGATCAATTACAACTTTCTTCAGTATATGCAATATGTGGTCGTTTCTTAAAATATCTACAGAGATAGTCCTTGACTTATAACAATTGGGCCTGGAATTTCAGTTATTAAGCAAGTCATTTCAAAAGGGACCAGATTTTATGACCATTTTTACTGTGTTCATTAAGGAAATTATATGGTTAAAGCAATCACACAGCTGTTAAGCAAATCCAGCTTTCCCCCATTGACTTTGCATGTCGGAAACTGTGGGAAGGTCACAAAATGAGATCATGTGACCCAGGGTGGGATTCAAATTTGTAACAACTGGTTCTGTGGGCGTGGCTTAGGTGGTGGGCATGGCTTGGTGGTCATGTGACTGGGTGGACATGGCTTGGTGGGCTAGTTATTGGCTGGGTGTGGCCAACTCAATATCACTCACATCAAGGCACATATCTCCTCACCTGGCCTCTCATGACTTCGGGGATGCTGCAATAGTAGTAAGGGTGAAAAATGGCCATAAGTCATTTTTTTCAGTGCCATTGTAACTTTGAATGGTCCCACCACACAAGCAAAGTACCAGCAAAGGAGGGGAAAAACATTCCAGAGAAGTTCCAGAGACAGGAAGTCTAGTCCTGCCAAGAATGTAATAAGGCAGTTTCTGTAAGCAAAACCAGAATGTTTTCTTCCCGCCTTCCTTTCAGGATTAGGCCAGTAATTTCTTCTAACAACCAGTTCACCAAACTGCTTAGAATATTAACAACCGGTTCTAGCGAATAGTTGCAAACTGGTAGAATCCCACCCCTGATGTGACCACAACATGCTGAAAACGACATAAATTTGAGCCTAACTGTGATTGTGTGACCATGAGGGTGGGGCAAAAGTCACAATTTTGAGGATAAGTCATAAGTCACTTTTTTCAATACCATTGTAACTTCAAACCATTGTCAAACAAGTGATCATAAGTCAAGGACTACCCAAACATAACTCTTCCATATTATAATGACTAGGCACACAGTTTCAATATATTAGCAATCTATAAGCATTTATCCTATTTTTTTAACCACGTCATATAAATTAATTAGATATATTTGCATTTTAAGTTGTTTAATATTTAAAATTCTGAAGTGTCCCTCTTTTTTATTAAAGGGATAAATACTGTGCATGCCATTGTACATATACAGTAGGAGTCATCCCAACTATATTGAATATTGCTCACGTGAAGAATTGTGGCTTCTTTCTCGATGAGGTAAGTCAAGGTCCTCTGAAAAGAAGTGGCTCTCTGAGATCATCCTACCCTCAGCAGCTCTGCCATGGTCATGAACAACCTGCTTTAAAAGGGAAAGATTTTCTGTTTATTATTTGATTAGTGATCAAATGAAGAGAAAGAAGTAAGTAAGCAGCAGCAAGAAAGATCAGTCCAACAACATCCATGCAGCAAACCAAGATGTTCTTTCTCACCCAATGAACTCTAAATGTATGGTGAACGCTAAGAATTTATTCAAGCTGGTAAACATTAATTTAGTTAGGTTGACTGTACAGGTAGCCCTCAACGTATGGCCACAATTGAGCCCAAAATTTATGTTGTCAAGTGAGGCATTTGTTAAGTGAGTTTTGCCTCATTTTACAACCTTTCTTGTCACAGTTGCTAAGTGAATCACTGCTGTTGATAAGTTAGTATCCTGGTTGTTAAGTGAATCTGGCTCCCCCATTGACTTTGCTTGAGAGAAGGTTGCAAAAGGTGATCACATGTCCTTGGGACACAGCAACAGTCATAAGTATGATCCAGTTGCCAAGCATCTGAATTTGGATCACAAGACCATGGGGATGCTGCAAAGGTCATAACTATGAAAAATGGTCATAAGTCACTTTTTCAGTGCTGTTGTAACTTTGAATGGTCATTAAATGAACTGTTGTAAGTTGGACTACCTGCATTAATTTTATGTGAAACTAGCTCTATACCCATGCTTTGCTACGAAACTGTAGTCGGGCTTAGGTTTTTGGGAAGAAAAGAAAATTCTGCCTCTGCCTACCAGCATCCTTCAGTATTCATCTGGCTAGTGTCCTGTCAGTGTTTGAGAGAGTTGGGGTCTGTTTGGAAACTGAAACAGTATTTGCTGTGTGAGCAAGGAGACAGCAAGGATCCTGGCATGGCTTAGCTCAACTGTTCTGTACTAAAGCTGCTTGGTGCTGTTAAAGTAAAAATGAAACTGAAACTCCTCTCCTCTGCTTGTGTTTTGCATTTGGAACAGATTTCTTTTTTGGTGGGGCGGGGGGAGAGTAGAACTCCTTAGCATCAGAGAGTGTTAATAATAATATAGGAAATACTAATGCTCTGATGGTCATTTCGAAAAATCCTTTCTTAGTGAGCACCTAGAAGCCAAGAGGAACATGCCCAATTTCAGGTTTGTAGGCTTTATGGTTCTGGAGATTTTGTGATGATGCATGACTGATATTTTGCTTTTATATAGAGAGAGATTCCAGGTGTCTGAAAGGTGTTAGAGCCAAACAAACTAAGTTATGTCAGGAAGTCTGGCCTGAAGATCATAATGGGCTTTTTATTAAGGAACCTTGGAAGAAATAGTCAGTAAATCAGGTTTTAATTTTCACTGTTTAATAAAGGAGGCAATTACATTTTAGGCATTTTTGTGTCCAATGGCAGGAACACATTTGCTGAGTGAAAGTTCTAATTTACGAGTTAGAACTGAATATATCCTGGCTCAAAATTCTTTATTTATAAGTAATGTTGGTTGTTAAGTAACAAACAGCCTCACAGGTTCATCTATCCAAATTCAAAGCTTCTAGACATAAGTTGCCAATGGAACCCCAGGTTAGCATACACTGAGTATTTTTAAATTCCTATTTTGATCCTTTAGCAGAAAATACAGCAATGTTATCTGGCATTCAATGTTACTAAAAATGTCATATAATTAAAATGTAGTAAAAAAAGAAGAAGGCTCAAATACACACAGACATACATACACATACTTCCCACCATCACCTCCTTTACACACAGCACCCAATGATCTTAGTGAAGGTAATAACCACATGGCAATAAATAGCAGTGGAATCATCTCAAATCTAATGAGCCAAAAATGATCAACAGACTAATCCACAAAGCTTTTGAGCAAATTCATCAGTAAGGTATTTTTTTTATTTCAGAAGCAGCTTTGGTTTTCAAATAAACTTTTACAGTAATACCCTGTTTCTCCAACAATACGGCCTCCCCCAATAGGAAGTCCCAGCATGTTTTATAGGCATGAAATGAAATTAAGCCCCTCCCCCCAAATTAAGGCCTATATTAAAACATGCAAAATGGGGGGGGGGGAATGGTGGGGGGGGCTTGCCATTAGGAAGTACTTTTGTTGCACACCCGGATATGGTGCTGCCTGCGTTGACCCCGATACGAAGTGCCCCACCAACGCCAAGGTCAACATCCAAGCCGTCGCTGACCGCCCACCCAAAGATGCGGGGTGGGGGAGGAATTAAGTCACCCCCGAAAAGACGGCCTAGCCATTTTTTCAGGGCTCAAAAAAAAAATAAGACCCAGCCTTATTATGAGAAACACGGTAGGAAACATGGGGGTGGGGTGAGATGGGGAATAGAAATGATTTCTTTGCAAATTGAGAGACGTTAAACCTCATATTGCTACACTTAATCAAAACACAAATTTTAGCAATAAAGTGCACATAGAAGTCAAATAGATTCAGTTTCATTAAAAATGAAAGCTAAGGAGTTGCTCTAATTTCTCAGGAACCATTTCTCCTCTCCTTATTAAGATGCTGTCAGCAGACAGGAATTCATCTGGGCCTGCATTTTTCTATACTCAAGAAGGGAAGGATTAGGCAATAGAACTGTAAGCCAGCGCACAAGTCCCAGAAATCACAGCACTGCAAATAATTTTTTAAAAAGTGAAATAAATCAAGTGACACGCCCTACATACGGTTGTCACATACAAGTACTTCCTAGGCAATGAACAGCCTTTGCAAAAAGTTTAGAACCAACAAGAAAAAGCATTTCATCAGAGGGAAGAATGAATGCATGCATGTTAACATTTGGGTGTAGGTGCATGCATGAAAATCGATAGCAGAAAAAAATCACGATGGCCTGGCCGTATTATCGTCACAAACAGCAGAAAAGATACAAGAGATAGATGTGCTGACTTCAAACTAATTTGACTCAAAAGAATTGCTTGTGGATTAAAGTAAAGATGTTTATGAAATGTATTTATTTTTCTTGTCACTCAGGGTTTAAGAAAAAGCAAGTACAGAAATTAGCAACAGGAAAAAAATATTGAACAGGCAATTAATTTCTATAAATGTTTTTAAGGAAATATTAAGATGGACATCAACTTCCATGGCTCCTCCACTTTCACCACAGTTTTTCTAAAGCTGTTACTTACCATGTAATAATTTTTTCTTCAATACTATAGTCACAGAAGAATCCTGTCACATCTAGAATTCTAAAATACAGGCCCAATGTTGCTCACCCACATAACTGAAAGGACGTGGCATCATATTTTTAAAGTAAAGCAGTTTCCTGCTTGATTATGCTTAGGTAGGAGTCAGTCTATGTTTAAAGAAGCTAAAGGAAAGAGTGCCTGTGTATGGGTACAATAAATAAGGACTCTGATTACCTGGAACAATCCAACAAAGACTGCACAGAACCCACTTAGCCCTGAATTAAATTCTGGGGAAAGGAAAAACAAAGCTACATTGTATAGTTTGAAGAACTACCTGTCCTTGGCAAAGTTATATGAGAAGGTGTGGCAGAATGTAAGCGTTGGTTGTAAAGGTCTTGTGTCATTGCCAAAAGGATAGTCATACTGCTAAACTTGCACAGCTAAAAACTATCATAATTGTCCTCCCCACTAGAGAAAATCTCCTGGGTTGTATGATCCAATTTAATTCACAAGCCTACCATGCAGCCATCTTTGAAATGATTACATACATAAGCCAATGCCAATTGTCTATGAGATACAAACTGTTTAAACTTCCAAAAAATACTTTAACGATCAATTTTCAGCTCAAATATAAACCCAGAATTTTTTTTAAAGAAATTCACAAGATTTTATGCCTTTCTTTTAATCCCATGTATCAGATGATTTCATTGGTACTTCGGTGCCCCTATTTTGCAAATACAGTTTGCATTTAAAGGTCAAGGGGTATCAGATAGGACTGGAGTATATATGCTAAATTTTATTATAATAAGATATTTCATTATAAAATATTTTAGACATTTTAAAATTTTATACTTTTTAAAGGAGACTTTCACAGATAGGCAAAAGTATAGAGGGGGTAAAGTCTAGCATAATCCACCAAAACAACTTCCTAAAATATATTTGCATTAAATGTCCTGGTCTATTTTGCAGAAAACAGACAACTGGAGATGAGATTGAGCTTGCATTCTCTTCAAGATATTTTTCCTAATATTATTATAATATTTTGATTTAAAATCCCACTTTGGACATATGTTATTTACCCATGCTCAGACGTAGCAGCATACTGCAGATCTGCTAAATGGGACTGGAAGCTGAATCAATAGTGATTTGCATTCCGCTCTTCAGTGTGCTAAAACCAGTTTGTATACTCTACAAGCAATGTGACATTGCAAATATATCTGGGGGGCATATAGCGGAGGAAGGCCCTTTAAGTATGTAATTATTCGGAATCTGATTTTTTTTTTAAAAAAGTTCCAGTTTATGAAATCTTTGTAAAGCTTCCTCTTTAGAGATCACTGCTCAAAGTCTTCACCAATTTATTCTACACTCTAGATAATTAGCTGGTTAATGGCCAAAATGCTCAAAAAGTCAGTGCCTGGAAAGAAATACTGGAACTGGAAGCTTTGTCAGCATCTCTTCTGTCACCATTCTCAAAAACCAGGCTGTTTCATAGCAGAGAATTAAAATGGGATTCTGACAATTTTGAAAGCAATGAGCCGTCCCAATCTCAAGAATCCACTATGTGTCTCATGTTGTTATTGAAACGGCCACATACATTTTTTATTCTAGGCACTTTTCACCACAGCCTTTGCCAACTTAATATTTTTCCAATTTGTTGGCATTCTAATCACATAATTGCTGTTGCAGGATATGATCAGTCATCTCAAAATTAACGCATCTCACCACTTGGAGTTACCGCATTGGGCATAATATTAATTTGTTGGCTTTCTAATCTTATTAATGCTGCTGCATTGTGCTTAGCACAGGACATGATAGCTAATCTCATAATTAATGTATCTCACTTGGAGTTCCTGCATTGGGCATAATGTTGATAATACGTTCTCAAGTGAAAACCCTCTGGATGCTTTTAGGCCCTTACGCATATTTACTATCTATCTCAGATTCTATGATTTAAGAATAATCCTTAGTATAAGATATGTAACAGCATATAAACATTTTGTTACTGCAAAGTTGGTACTAATATAGCAAAAGGTAGTTTAAAGTAGGGATATATTAATTGGTCGAGCGAATCAGAAAGGTAAACTTTATCCAGAACTTTGAGCTTGAACTACAGTCAGGGTATATTAGGATTACCAAAATACATAAGAAGCAAAGGGGGTGGGGGAAATCAATGGGTATGTGTGAATACACAAAGACTCAGAAGACATTCTCTAAATCAGTGGCCCCCAACCTTTTTTGTGCCACGGCCCGGTACCGGCATCACAAAATGATCCGTGCCCCGGTACCGGCATCAGCACGCATGGCAAGGCGAGCCGAGTGACCAGCCAGCCAGCCGTCCCCCACTTCTCCCCGCCACCTTCAACTCCTCCTTTGTACCTTTGTCAATGGGCTTCGGGACGGCTTCGGGACGGTTGCTCGGCTCGCCTTTGCCTTGGGTGCTGAAAGAATCCTCGCGCCTTAGTTTTGTTCGAAGCCGCCCCCCACTTCGATGAAACTAAGGCGCGAGGATTCCTTCAGGACCCAAACGCCGCTTTCCAACCGGAAAAGCTCACCGGAAGCACTTTCTCATCAAAACAAGATGGTGGCGCCCAGCAAACCAGCCGCCCGATAGAAAATGTTCCACGGACCGGTACCAGTCTGGGGCCTGGTGGTTGGGGACCCCTGCTCTAAATACCAGGGTCAGCAGCTTGGGTCCTGCAAAGACTTAAGTAGGGTCCATATCAAGCCTAATGTTCCACAAGACTTTTTAAAATATTTCTTTTAATAAAAGAAAGCTACCACGCAGTAACAGATTTCAACATAACACTTACAGGAATGCCTTTGGTCTGCACAAAGGTTTAAATGGGTGGGCAGAAATCATCCTGCAAAGCACATTTGCCTTCTGAGATGCTGTATATTTATAGCAGGGGCGGCAGAGTGGTTAGAATGCAGTAATGTGGGCTAATTCAGTTCACTGCCAGGAGTTCAATCCTCACTGGCTCCAGATTGACTCAGCCTTCCATCCTTCCAAGGTGAGTAAAATGAGGAGCCAGATTGTTCTCTAAGCTTAGAGAGGACTGTAAAGCACTGTGAAGCGGTATATAAGTCTAAGTGCTATTGCTATTTTGCTCCTAGCTATTTTTATAGTTATTTTGCAAATTAGCAGGCTTTTCATGGAGGTCTTTATTTTTTCACAGGAGTACAATTTGATCTCAAAATTCTCACATACACTCAACCACAAAGAACACCCATTCCTGTAGTAAGTAGTGTTAATGCCATAAAAAAATGTCCTTGCATAAAAATCTTCCTAATGATCCTTACTGTATAGCACAGGATAATGAATATAGTATGATCTAAAGCAGGGGTGTCAAACTCTACTTCATTGAGGGCCACATCAGGGTTGTGTTTGACCTTGGGGGGCAGGATGGGTGTGGCCAGGGTAGGTGTGGCCAGCATGTCATTAGTGTCAGGGACACCTGTAAGAGCCCGATGCTCTGCCAGTATAAATGGGTTCCCGAGCTCCGTTTTTGGCTGGAATGGCCTCCTGCAACCCTCTGCCAGAGAAAATGGAGTTCAGGGGACTCGCACGCGGCCCTCCCAAACTCCATTTTCACTGGCAGAAGCATCTCGGGCCGGTCCTTTGTTATTTCCAGGGTGGCCCCACGGGCCAGATCTAAGTACCCTGCAGGCCAGATCTGACCCCTGGGCCTTGAGTTTGATACCCCTGATCTAAAGCAAGGTGTAACCTTCACCAATCATAATTTTCTTTATTCTATAACAGTCCTTACAAAAGGCAAGTTGATTTATATACGTGTGTGTGTGTGTGTGTAGACGAACACTATACAGAAGCCTGATGATGGCAGATGAGATTCTGCCGAAACATTGCTACAACTTTAAAAGCACAACTATAATGATGTGGGAAAATACCCGAACAAAGCTGAATAACATACATACATACATACATACATACATACATACATATCTGGGAACAAGATTCAATCTGAATGATAATGATTGTTCCAACATTATCTGTTGCATTTTCCTCAAGTAGTGTAATCTCACCAGATGATATCAACCATTGACTGCAATTCACTGGCTCTCACTGCAATGCCTTTCCAATGACAAAACTTTTGAAGAAAGATCACATTGTTTATTAGAACTATGTGCAATGCATGCTTCAAAAATTACTTGAAAGCATTGCACAAAGACCATCACATAACTTGTACAAGACCAAAAGGGAGAGAAATGCCACTGGTTTAAGGAATATACTCATTAAAATTAATGCAACCAAAAGCCTGCTTTAAGAACTTGTACAAAGGGGCTTGGCCCTGGGCAATATCCAAAGCACTTCTTTTGAATAATTTTCAAAAGCTGCATGCACAGCCTTATTACTTGTGTCTTCAAATAAGGATTAGGCAAAGGAAACGACATTATCATAAAGCATACAGCACATAAGTCTACTAATCTTTCCTTCACTAGTGTATTTAATAGTCAATCAATATAATATAAATAACTTGAATTCCGAGATATTTAGTGTGAGCATAAAGGCATTTCAGTTTGCACAAGGCAGCCAATCAAGTTCTTTCCATTCCTACTATTGTCTGCCATTCCCTATTATGCAATTTCAGAGGAGCTCCTGAACTTTAAAAAGAAATGTTATTTAAGTCTTAAGGAACAGAGACATATGGGAGAAAGCCCTTGTTTTATATCAAATCTTTCTTCCAAACCATTAAGTTTTGTCAGTTTATATACCCATCCTTTATTTATCAAAAAAATGGTTTAAAAAAATCCTTAAACAGAAGAATATTGGGGGAAGAGGGGGGAATCACATTCTTGTCTGCAAAACATTTAAACCAGATTTTGTTTGCAGGCTTCAACAAGATAAAGATATTTACTTCTTACTGCTGTGCATTAATGTTATAGTTATTAAACAATCCAATCACATTATGCTCATCTTTCTTTTGAACGATCAATTGTCTACTGACTTCTCCTTCCTTGGCCGCAATTTTTCCCTAGTGACTTCCGCTAAGATGCCCAGTCAATTCTTGCTCCTGGAAGTTCATTCATTCATCCTGAATCTATCATTTCAGCTTATTTTAAAGAGAATAATTATAACACAATAGCAAGCATTTCCTAGTTATAAATTCAGGGGAGGCTTATCACAGCCTATCTGTGATTATTATTTATTAATCCTGGACTAAGCAAAACTTGTCATATATACAAGGCGCTTCTTATCCTTTTCTTACTGCGACGGTATTGATTCTGCTCTATCCCCATTCCAATACTTCAGTTGGCTCAGTCTACATCCTTTCCTTTTATTTGTTTGGTCTCAGGATCTGCAGTTTGCAGGAGTAGCTGCACATGAGATTAAGAGGACATGCTTAATGGGCTTAAGTCCATTGACAGAAACAAAGAGATCACTATTTCTGTAATGCTGTCAACTGCTCCCAGATATTGGATGACCCAATATGTAACACCCATATGCAACTATACATGTATTCTAGTAGATTCTGAACATATCAGGTTAGTACACTGAGGGTACCTCAGGCATATGAATCAATAAGAACATTATTATATATGCCAATTCTGATCTGAAGTTTCCAGAGCCTTGTAGTAAACTAATTTTGTCGTTGCACATATATTTCACAGGATTTTACACAGAAATAATTAAAGTTTAGCTCCTAGAAAGAAGAAGGGAAAAATACCTAAAGTATCTAGTTTACCATCATAACTTTTCTGCATATGTGAAATCCAAAATATGCTGCTGTAACATATTTTCTGTAGTACTAATTTGTCAGTGATGCAAAACTACATAGCATAGTTACAGCAACTATATAGCTGCAACTTTTACAATGCACAATTTGTATGACATTTTTTTTTAAATGTAAACAATGATAAATATGTACCTAAGGATCACTTCTTCAGGCTGAAACATTCTTTCTGCAAGATCATTTCTCCACAGCTAAGAATAGCTTTCTAATTATAAAAAGTATGAAATGTTTTCTCTATGGGCCAGTTTTATTTTATAACAGAAAGATTTTTGTAAAACTGGAAAACTTGCATATCCCTAGCATGTTTAACTGACTTTAAACTTGGCCTAGAACCAATACAGGCAGCATCTACATTAACTTTTGAAACATGTTTAAGGTGAGTAATCTACAATTCAGGTGTCCACATGTCTTGGGATAGTTGTACACACCCAGCTATTTCATCCATGCTATGTTCAGATCTAATTGGACCACTCAATCAGCATAGCAAGCTGTATCTAGTTAGAGTAAAATAAAGTGCTCCTATGGCAACCTAGATTTGGAGATCTAATTTAGAAAATTTAGCTTGACTCTAAAGTAATTCACCTTTTCAAAGCCCTGAGGAATTTTAAATCACAACTATATCTTGTTTATATATTCTAGCATATACTTGGAACACATACAAGGGACTAAGCTGACGGAAAACTATGAAGCAACTGGGAAAAATCAACCATTAAGAGTGCTTCAAGCCACTACCATATGCAACTCATTTTCTTGTTACTCAATTTGCAATTTTCCCCAGGGATACAGTCTGTAGTCCACATGCTGGATCAGATTTCATGAGTACTTAAAGGAAAATGCAAGGCCCATGAATTTGCAAGTCAAAACTGGTGAAGACAGGCATTCTCAGACTATCATCACACACTTTCTTCCTGTGAGAAGATTTAGCAATCGACAGAAACATTTCCCAGGATGCAGAGAGAGTGCAAAAATTGCAGCTTCGAATATCAGTGTTCACAACTCAAAAAAAAATTTTTTTAAAATAATCAAGGAACAGTTGTATTGCAATCACAATAGGCACGCACATTCCTCAGGTTCTCTTCACAATTGCATGCACACACACTTCTCAATTTATTTGGAGGCTTCAATAGGGCCAACACCCCAATTAGGCTAACTTTGGTTAATTAGGTTTCTTTTTGCAACAGCTGTTGGCATTCTAAAAACCTGCATTCTGCCACACAAACTCTTCTCCTTTGAGCTGTTAATTATTGTGCTGTCCACATGGGGGATTTTTTAACAACAGGACAAATAAAGAGATACCCACTTGCACGGCAGGCAGATTTTAGTCGCCCTTTTGCAATTTGTTTTTTTTTTCAAGAGCCAGGGAGAACTGAAGCAAATCGTTCCTTACCTTTGTTTGAACTGCATCCCCCCTCTCAAACATCATCTTTAGTTTGCTTAGAGGAACATTAAACTTCTCTATTTTCCCTGACGATTCAGGGATTTCACTGGTCTCCAGCTTTCCTATGTCTTGTCTGGATTCTCTAAGACAATTTTCCATTTCCCCACTCTGAGATGACTGCGTTTTATCGTCTTCGCTGCCAACACTGGGATATCTGAACCGGCCAAACAATCTGGAAGAGGACTGAAGTCTCAATCTTGGACTAATCCCTGAAGTTTTGTTAATTTCTGCTAAGGACGCAGAGCCGCTTTCAGTTCCACCACCAGGGCTGACAGCCTTCTGCCTAACCTCAGTACGGCAGCTTTCCACAGCTTCCTTCCGGACTTCCGTCTCCAAGCTTGGATTTTCCCACTTCTTCTTCAAGATGCTGAGGTTCCCCCTTTTAAAATGAGGGGGAAGTGGGTCAATGGTCTAAAAAAAAAAAAATGAACAAGAAAGTGAGACCGGTTACACAAGCTGTCCCGAAGTTCTTTCTCCGGGGAAGAAAGGAAGTTAAAAGGCTGAGCAGGCTGCACTTTCAGACAGCTGTGAATCGTTAGAAGTGTGCCACATGGAGCAAGGCTGGATCCAGGGCAAGGAAGGGGAGAAGGGAGGGGAAAAGAAAAAGGAGCTGAAGCAGGAAGTGAGAAAGCAGGATGGCCTTATATGGAAGCAAGGGACTCCACTGAATGAGAGAGCTAGAACCAAGCCTTTTTCCCTCAACATTCAGCACAAAGGAAGGAGAGAACAAAAGCCCACCGTCTCCCAGGCTGCTTCCAGAATAGGTGGGAAGCCATATGAGATGGCTGCTGTCAAAAAAACCCCTTGTCTCTCATCTGCTCCACAGGATGACAAAGAGGACCCAATAGCAAGTTTTTTTTTTAAAAAAAAGTAATAATAATAGAGGCTTATCTTTCAAGGAAGCCGACGCTCAGGCTCTTTTTCTTTATAAGCATTCACTGATAACGTTTCTGTAATTTTCTTCCTAATCATGCCAGCCATTAATTTTATTTCTTTTTTACCTATTGATTAAAGGGGGATCACACCCTTACAAGGATTGTGATTCAGACCTCCGATTAAATGATTTAAAATCAAAGGGTCCTAAAAGACTTAAGGTAGACCTGGAAAACATTGTGCCATTCCTGGTTTAACGCAAGCATTTTATTTACGTAATGGGCAACTCCTCTGCCCAGGTTTTTTAAAGCGAGCCATTCGCAATAGTTGGCAACCTGTACCTTCCTAGTTGGCTATATTGGTGTTCTGCCAGGTATAAGATCCAGCTAAAAAAAATGGAAAGGGGCTACAAAGCTTTAGGTTATTAAACAGGATAAGCAGCTATACTGGGATTAGTTCTGTTATTCTTGTGGCTACATTGTGAGTTCCACCTTAGCAAATCAGTGAGAAGGTAACATATCTTTCAGAAATAATCAGTTTCCTGCTCCATTTCAAGCAAGTTCACATTTGCAGAGAGAAGTGACAGTGCAAGATCAGGGAGTCAGAAATAAAAAAAAATTGAGAGGGGAGAAGAGGTACAGAACCACATAAAGTGTAAGTGTAAATGTTAGTGCTTTCATAGGTTCCAAAAAAGTATTCAGTTGCATCTGGAAATCTGTAATAAACAGTGCAAGCACACTGTGATTCATCTTGAACACTATTCGAATTCATCTTTGTTTTAATGCCCCTATGCAAAGCTCACTTTTGTGGCCTCTGCTGACCTGACTCAGAGTTTACTATTCAATCCTGTAGTCAAAAGAATCATCAGCCAGACAGAATTGCTATCTAACAGACACAGGTCCAAGAGTCAGCTCTTTAACGCAGTGAGTCACACATTAGACAAGAAACGCTAAAAGAGAGAAGAAGAAAAAAAAAGCCACGTTTGATAACAATCAAAAGCAGGACAGAGAGTTCTCAAGCTCACCAGAACAAAACTTCATCTAACACAGAGGATAATCAGTTCCAGCAAACAAATATTCTTAGCAAAGTTGGAAGGTTATGCTGAGCAGACAGAACAGAATCAGAAGCATGGATAAGATCAAACATTAGCAAAAGCTGTATCCACATTCAGTACCCCAGATTAGATAACAAAGGCCAAAAACAGCACATTTAATCAGCAATCTGTTTAAATTCAGAGCTATTTAAATGAAATCACTTCAGTGAACCCAGTAGTAGTAGGGATGTTACAGAGGCAATTCTAACTTTACTGGTACAATACAGAGAAACTCCAAGGACTGAAGTTAATAACCAAAGAATCTGTTATTGTCTAATATCCCTTGTTTTATTTATATAATTTTTACTGGTGTTGTAAACGATGTCAACTTCCATTTGTCGCCTTCTCAGGTTTTCCATTATGCTTCCATCTTTTTTTACCACCACAAAGATGGAATATCTATGTGTGTGTGTGTGTGTGTATTGAATGATATGATGGTAGCTTTCTATATATTACATCCCTTGTTCATGTAGTCCTTGACTTACAACAGTTCATTTAGTGACCATTTGAAGTTACAATGGCACCGACATATGACTGTTTTTCAAACTTACAACCACTGCAGCATCCCCATGGTCACATGATCAAAATTCAGACACTTGGCAACTGACTCATATTTATGATGGTTGCAGTGCCCCGAGGTCATGTGGATCACCTTTTGTGGTCTTCTGACAAGCAATGTCAAGGGGGAAGCCAGATTCACTGCAGTGATTCATTTAACGAGAAAGGTCATAAAATGAGACAAAATTCACTTAACAGGCTAGCTTAGCAACAGACATTTTGGGTTCAACGGTGGTTGTAAATCGAGGATTACCTGTAGCCAACTCTGTCTTATGTTATTTTCTCCATTTTCCTCTTGCTGTAGAGCCCAGGGGTTTTCGCCAGAAACAGCTTTTTCTTCTACCTTTTCCCGATGTCTCTCAAACCAAGAGAACTGACTGAGGGAGAGAACTCATTGCCTGCACAGCAGGGCTGTCCTTTGCCCCGCTGCTCCCCCACCCTCTCCGTTTCCTTCTACCATTAATTCAAAATTTTGCATCTGAAGACTTTGGTGAGATGATCAGCCCAGAAATGTGATTGCTTCCTCCTGGTTCTAAAATGTTGAGTCCAGCTAAGATGCCTTCCCTGTGAAGATACAGTCCTAGTTCTCAAAGAAGATCAGTTCACACTAATTGCCTGACTTCATAATCAGGGGTTTGGGGTGCAAGTTGTTTTGATGTATGCCTATGGGCTCATATCTGTGGAGAGGGAAATATAATTTGAAGGCAGTGAATCCTGGTCCAAAAATGGCAATATATTCAGCCTTGTGCTTGAGTAATCTAAGCTCTCACTGAGAAAAATACTTGACTCATCCCGATTCCCAGCTCCTGGGAATATACCCTGCAGCAGCAGAAATTTGGAAGGCCAAATGTTTGCTACAGGGAACACAAGGAAATGCTAATGATTTACTTATATTTGTCAAAAATCTATTTATGGTGGACCCCAAACAGGACAAGACAATTAACAGTAAATGAATGCTGATTGGTTGACAATTCCTTATGTTAAAACCGTGGCTCCTCAACTCCCCCCTTCCGTTCATGGACCAGCACTGATCCATGGCATGCATAAACAAGCGAAGCCCCATCTGAAGGATGCAGGCACCATGTGAAACCACACTTCCTCTGGTCCACAAAAAACACTTCTCTCCATGGAATTGGTCCCTGGTGCCCCAAAAGCTGGGAGCGCTGTGTTAAATTATCATTAGTCAGAATGCTATTCTGAGTATAACTAGTAATGAAGTTTCTGCTCACAGAAACAAACTTTGGAACCAAAATAGAATATAAATTAGAAAATGAAGCTAAAATCCTCCTGGTATGTTTTATTCCCAGAAATAGAACCAGGCATGCATCTGTATTAGGAAGATTATTTGTTACCAAATAAAAGGCCATTTTTCCATTGGCTGGTTAAAGTATTATTCATAAGTTCTTAATTTGGTTGAATATTTGCTACACCTAGTGCTGTTTTTTTTTCTCTTACCTCTGCTGCCATTAAATGGTCAGTTATGGTGCAACTTGAGGGAAAGGAATGCATAATTCATTCCTTTGCTTTTGTTTCCCTTCCTTCCCACCAAACAGCACCAGCAACAGGGAAAATACCACCACCTCTTGCCATCCAATTTCTCTTTTTGATGTAGTATGAGAGTTGGGGAGGAGGCAAGGAGTTGTGTGTTGGAGCCAGAGAGAAAGTTGGTTCTCCCTCTGCACCACGCTGCCTCCCATTACAAGCTAGCTGTAAGTTAGGCTCCCTTCAAATATGAGTTTAAGTGAGTGGAGATGAGGATGTAGAAAAAGCTGGAGAGAATAAACAGGCTTCTCAGCCTTCTCCTCTACTGCACAGACCTCCTGGTGCCAGTTGGGTGTTAGCTGGGCCGATCCTTCTTTTAAACCAAATCTACAAGCTGACAACCTGGCTTTGGGAAGAGCCATGCCTGCAGCAGCCTAAAGTGGCCAATAGGTGCCAGGCTAATTCCACCCTCTTAAGAAGTCACCACCAGAATGGTTAGGGAACAGCATCAGAGTGCACCTATGTAAAGCTGCATGGGTTATAGACTACTTAAGAGGCAAAACACAAGTTAAATACAAGAATCATTAAGGAGAACTTTAATTATGCTGCTTCCAGGAATGTGTTGGGACGTTGTAATGACATGGCAAAAACAACAACAACCTGTATCTACTTAATTACATTGTCACAGGCAAATTAGGAAAAATTCTAAGCAGAATGACTTCACACCTACATGTAGATGAAAAGTATAAACTTTTACATCCCAGAATAAAATTTGGGCTACTTTCTGCCACTGGAAGGCTGTTCTAAAGCTTTCTTTTTTGCAAATGCTTTTGTTATGTCAAATGTCCTATTTCAAAATTTTGAGTTAATGATTAGAGAAGTGAATAACCTGTACAACAGGACAACTCAGAAGCAGCTTCAATTATTCTTAAGACCAGATCATTATCCCAACTTTCTTCATGTTGGAACAGGAGACAAAGGAAGGTATTATTGTTCTCATTCTCCAACACCACATGCATTTCTGGATGTCTTTCCTTTACGACATGCAGTGCAATGCCTACAAAGGGAGGTGGTATATAGCAGGATGAGCCTAGGCTCAGCACATTGGGCAAACCTAGTCAGTTATGGATTATTTGGCTAAAAATGTGCATGGCTCGGTACAATATGTGAATTCAGCTACTTTATATTATTCTTGTGGGCTTCACTAGAAGGATACGTGTATAAAAGGCTTTAAAATTATTATTTGCTTTGTATAGAACAAAAATATAGAGAGACTGTAATCGATTAATACACAGGTAATTCTTGACTTATGATCACAATTGGGACCAAAATCTTAGTCACTGAACAAAGCCATCATTAATAAAGACGCCCAGGTGGTGGTTTCTCTTAAATGATGCAATCCTGGCCTTCTTGGTTGTGGTTGTTAAGCAATCTCAGGCATTGTTAAGTAGAGTTCCAGGTAATGAGTGCCAGGTGGCTCAGGACAGTAGAAGAGATCCTAGAAGACTCTGTTCAGGGTCTCAAAATTCTCCCTGCCAAAATCTAAGTAGGATTTTCAGCCACCGAGCAAAAAGACACTTGTGTGCGGCCTGTGCTTGGCTTTCCAAGGCCTTCTCCACCTGACTGGGGTACTCTACACTCCTTACCTCACCAGGCTGCCACTTAACTCTCTGTTTGGATTTTAGTTCCCTCTTGTCTCTGGGGATGGTTGAAAGTTTCCCGGCAAAGGATTTCACCTTTCTGTTCACAGAAGGAATCTGACGTCAGCTCTGTTTCTGCTCCACGCCGAACAAGTTCAGCTCCTCTTAGCGAGAAGCTCTTTCAGCCAACCGCCAGAGACAAGAAGGAGTCTTCTTGGTAAAATAGAAGCTGTTTGTACTCTTCCTTGCTAGCTGCCCCCACTGACTTTCTAGAGAAGGTTGCATATGGCAATGACGTAATTATGGAGCCAAACATAAGTGAAGACAGTTTTCCAAGATCCCAGATTGTGATCACGTGATTGTTCAATGTTTTGGGTTGGCAGGAAGTGCTTTATGGGCTGTAAAGCACCCTTTCTGAAGCAATCATAATTCTGGGCTGTTGTTAAACGGTTGTAATTCAAGGACTACCGGTAGTAATGAACGATTGCAATATTCTGATCGCATTCATTTGTAATTCTAGTCCTGGAATTTTCCAAGATGTGAGGGAGGGGCGAAGCTTAAGTGGGATTATGATGTTCCCATTTCAAAACTGAAGCTTTGAGTCAGAAACAGTATCTGATAACAAAAAAAAATCTCTGAACAGCTGGAAAGTATTACTTGGAATAGTAAAGATGTTATTTTGGAAAGCAATGGCATGTTAGCTTTATTTATTTTCCCTTCAGACTGCTACTTTGTTGAACAAAATATATTCAAGAACCAAGATCAACCTTATTTACATAAATATAAGGAATCAGCTAAACAAATTAACACAAGCAGAGAGGCAGAATTATGCAGACGGCCTGCAACTAAATTTGAAAGTTAGCATTGTAACTGCATTGAAGTTGAACACAGCAGCCTAGTGTGCTTTGAATTTAGGACAAATAAGTTAGCATCTCAGATGTTTTGAGTACCAGGAAACTTACTTGATTTTCTCATTCGTCAACCCTCGTGTGAAGAGAAGAAACTGTGGGGAACCACGGCCCTTCTATGACCTGTGGACTTCAACTCCCAGAATTCCTGAGCCAGCTTGCCTGGCTCAGGAATTCTTGGAGTTGAAGTCCACAAGTCATAAAGGGGCCATGATTCCCATCCCTGGTCTAAACTAAGGCCTAAGGCTAAGAACATTTGTCAGTCAGCACTGGAAGAGGAGACGGACAAAATCTTTTAAGGAAATTCAAGAGTAACTGCTAGAGGGGATAAAAAAAAAAACTGAGATGCCATTCAGTTGTCATGCTACTACTGAATTCATAACAATTTTAAAATACTTACGCTTCTTTTTTTTTCCGCAGCCGCTTCTTCAGCTGCCTTCTGGTACCTTTACAGCAAAGGATGGCAAAAGGTAGGAAAAAAAAACATTTTCATTCCAACCACTAAACTTTTCAATGATAAGTATACAAAATGTTGAGAAACGAATTATTATTGTTTAAATAGTAAGCTTAAGTAATTGATATCACAGTTTAGTAGAAAAGAAGGGGAACCTAAAAAAGTGATCTTATGAAGAAAAAAAACCCAGGAAAATGCCATGCAAAATGAAACAAAATAAATATTTTAAAGGGCCACATGTGACAGATGTATCATAATATGAACTTTTACCAATTACAGATCATTTTGCAAAATGCAAAAGTGCTAATTTTGTGCAGCCAGCTCGGCCCATATGCAAATATACCCACAGAAAGAAAGGAATTGTAATCCAGCTGCATTAATACTTCACGGCTCACCTTGATAAAGTAGGACAAAATCCAACAAGTTTATCCCACAATAAAAGTTTATTCTTTAAAGATGAATAAAAATTGCATAACATTTTGTGGTAAAAGATTAACAAGGATATCCACTGTGCAACTGATTTACACCATAGGATTAGCTATCTATAATAATTTAAAGCTATTTAATTTTGAAGCTTCTGGTGCTCTCAGAGGCCTCTGATGAGGAAGTATTAAAAGCCTTCAAGCCAGAAGATTATTTCAAGATGACTTTTTTCCACGTTTACATACCAAGCAGTAATTGCAGAACAAGTTAAAACCAGCAGATGAGATAACAGTAAACCTAAGGCGAGTCACTGTTCTTGAAAAGGCTGATCACCACACCCATGACTAAGGCTGATCTGATAGCCTTTGTCCTACCCTTTGCAATTATGCCACCTCTTTAGCAGCCTCCAGATACAGATTCTATTACCAATTATACATTTTTCTGCTTCCATTAAAAAAAAAACAATATAGGGAAAAATCAGTAGAATACAACAGAATTCAAATTCTTTTCCTGGCAAAATAGATTAGATCAAAAGGATGTCCATAGAATATAGTCACTTGATATTCCAGTGAAATATGGAATACAATTTTTTTTTAATATATACACAGGTTGTCCCAATCTTATGCCTGAGCTAATGTAAGGAAAAATTTTGAACTGCCTCAGAGTGCTACCCCTCTCAGAACAATTTTACCCTATACCTCTACCTGGCTTTTTCATCCATATCAGCAACATAGGGTCCTGAAATCTCACTTCATCAAGATGGGATAATGGCAGCTGGCTCAGATTGCTTTAAGGGATCTTATACAATCAAAACTGATCGTGAATTTTCTCAATAACTATGACCCAGCATGCCTCCACGATCAGGGGGAATTCGCTTCCCAGTAATTTATTCACTACTTTGTACAAATACTCCATTTCAAGAGTCCGGCAGTGAAATATTGTATTTAACATATAAATACCTGCATCAGCTTTCACCACCTAGTGCTCTTCAAATGTCTACAATATGCTCTTCAAGTCCTGTAGAACTTTGGAAATTGCAGGTCTTGTAGACCTGATCCAGCTAGAACAGTGCTTCCCAAGCTTGGCAACTTTAAGATGTAGGGACTTCAATTCCCAGAATTCCCTAGCCTGCCTGAAGTCTACGCATCTCAAAGCCTCAGAAACACTGCTCAAAAGAAAACTAAGAGAAAGGCTGAAACAGCATCTCTGGAAGAGGAACACTGATTAGAAACAAAACTTTGAGCTATATAGCATTCAGTCTGCTTAAGTTGAACTATTACTCAGTTTCAATTATGGTAAGTCCCACTGTTCCTCCCAGGAACACAAAGTTGCAAAAATGGACCCCATTTCCCAGTTTCTATAATGAAAAACATCCCTGTGAGAAGAGAAATATTCCATGATGCCTCACTGATGACATTAGCTATGACCTGACATTGGACGCTTTTGATCTATAGACATGTCTCTCTACTACAGTTGCTGAGCAATGATTTCTATGGCCTATTTGTCAGTTTTACATTCTGCTTCAATCACGACGGACAAGCCATATTTTTGTCTTGGGCTATTCAAATCCAGGTACAAACCTGGATTATCTTAATGAATAGACAGCTTCATCGGTTTCCTGGCTGATATTTGGTTTGTTCTCATATATTGCCGAAATTTCTACCAAATGAATTGGTGCAAGAAACTTGAGTAGTTTTTATTTTTTCAAATGAGTATGCCATGTTTTGACTTAGGATAATAGCTTTGTATGCTTGGCCTCTCTGCTTTGTAAACCATAGTTTATGCTTCAACCTGTTGTATAAACCCACTTGTGGTTCACTGAACAAATCAGAATCTAGCAATGTCTCTGTGAGCTGATGCAAGCTTTGGTTGCAGAATCTGGATTTAAAAGTTTTAGTGAGAAGAACTCCCAGATCAGGCTACTGTACAACAACAACACCCCCCACCCCCAATCTCTGTCTTCAAGTTTATTGTTAAAAAGAACTTAAATCCTACATCAGTCCAGCCATTTTTTGCATCAGATGAACCAAGCTGCAATTCACAAAAGCTTAATGCCTTTTGCTATAACAGACAACATGGCTCTTCTACATAATTAAAAAGTAAACTCTCCTTCAGATTATATTTGATCCCTGATGATACTCATGTAGGTAAAGAATAAAGTGTTTTGCTATGCCTTTTTATGGAATTTTTGGTTTTACTTCCTAGTTTAGCTTACAACATTGGGATCCAAGGATTAACTAAATCTGACACTGATTGGGTTTTAAAGGTCAGTCAGGGTGCCGCTAGCAGTATTTACAATGGGAAGGGAAGGGTAGGGAAATGGGAAAAAGCAATAGAAGTATAATCTGTTCCCTCTCTGACCTGGCTGCTCTTGGGAGTGATCAGATGAAGATCAGATGACCCCCTCCCTGCCTTGGAAGCTCTCACACTGTCTCACAGGGTGCAGATAGCACCCATTTAGCAACCGGCTCATTTTCTAATCATATGCAGTTACAATGGTGATGGAAGAAAATAACTTTACAACTAATGTTTGCATTTATGACCTTGGCCTGTCTGTAAAGCAAAAGAATCTGAACTAAATACTTTCATAGTTTCACTTAGTGACCACTTTGCTTAGCAACCAAGTCCCTGGTCCTAATTTTGGCTGTACCTATACAGAGTTTGGAGACCTCATATAGAGTCTCCACAGCCAATAATTGAAAGAGCCAGGAGAAAAAGCTGCTCATTGTCTCACGCTTTAGGAATAAATAAAGGCAAGGCTGTCTTTCCCTTACTGAAAACTACATTTATTATTTATTCCAGAGAAAAAGACTTGTAGGATTTTCTGCCTTCTATGCCACAATAATTTGGCCAGTTCTGACACCAGAGAACTCAAATTTACATTTTTAAAAGGTAGTTCTTCTTCAGAGAATGTATCACCTTGGACTAGATTAGTCTGCAGCCTAATCCAAGCAAATGCAGAAATCATTTAAAGATTTATATTGCCACCCCTGTAGTTGCACTTTTGGGAGTAGCTTTTAATAATTAAAACCCTATTAGAAAAATGGAGTAACATTCTGCTGAAATAACAATACATTGAACAGGAAAAAATTTAGCAGGCAAGTAAAGTTATCAGATATGTTTAACAAATTATTATTAATTATTAACAAATAATTCCCTTAACACTGTCCAACTATTTACAAAATCTGCATTACTATTACTATTAATCTTTTCATCACTCCTTACCGCCCATCCCCTCCCAGTTGTGACTGTATGACTGTAACTTTGTTGCTTGTATCCTTACAATTTATATTGACTGTTTCCTAGTATGATTTGATTTCTTATTGTACCCTATGACTATCATTAAGGGTTGTACCTTATGATTCTTGACAAATGTATCTTTTCTTTTATGTATACTGAGAGTATTTGCACCGACACAAATTCCTTATGTGTCCAACCACACTTGGCCAATAAAGAATTCTATTCTATTCTATTCTATTCTATTCTATTCTATTCTATTCTAT